TTTAAGCACAAAGCAATCATATTTCTAAAGATTTTCAAATATAAGGTATGGTGGGCTGGGAGAATGATGATAGCTCTTCGAGTCATACTTTTCATCTTATCTTACTGTGCACAACCAGCCGTCTCTAAACTAAAAAACAAAAAATTGAAATGGTTAGGCCAGGGTCAATGCCAATGTCTCGTGCACAGCACCAACATATTTTTTTCTTAATTGTAAATAATTATATTTGTCAGCAAATAATTTAATTATTTATATACAATGTGTCTTACTCGAATTCATGAAAAATTATCTACCATTAAAAGAAAGTATATTAAAAAATATCCCACCCTCCAAGTCGTGCAATAATTGTCTCTAATGTGGAAATAAAACCTTTGGGCCCATTTCGTTAGAAAGCAATTGATGATAAAAAATGAAAAAAAAGTAGAAAATGAAGTGAACAAAAAAAATATAAAGAAAAATTTATTTTTAAATACGTTTGATTAGAATGAAAAATTTGCTAAAAAATTGAAGAAAAATTAGTGCAAGGACTAAATTATCTTTATCATATCAATCTAAAGAGAAAAATGGTCAAGCAGAAAAAATAAGGCACCTTTTGCGGGAAACAAAAAATTTACCGCACAATTTGTGAGAAACTCACTTGAGGGAAAAAAACAATTTTTTCCAGAAATTATACTTTTTAGTTAATCAAACAAAGGAAAAGTAGATTTGTTTTTTTTCCCCATGTTCCTACAGTTTTGACACTAACCAAATGAAGTCTTGGGGATGATTCAGGGGCCAAATTTGTTATCTTCTAAGTAAGAGATTTTAGTTTTGATACTTCACACACCTCTTAAGAGTCATCAATTCTTGTTCCTTAGGGATTATGTCCTAAAACTAGTTTGAATTATAATGATTGATATAAAATTAAAGAGAGTAGTCGACGTAAGTCTGAACATTCAGTAAAAAAAAAAATACAGACATAAAATCATATAAAAAGAAAAAAAATAAAGATCATTCAATATGCATTATTATTATTATTGTTATTAACAACTGTCTTAAGATAATATATTATTTAAACTGATAAACAGATGTGGTCACTTTAAGTCAGATCACATTCACCCTCCACAATCCGAATGTAAGACAAATTCAACTTACGACAAGAAAAGGTGTCTAGCATACTTTTGTCCGTGGAGGTATCCAATACCAATAAATATTAGTCTACCAGATTTCGAGAAGCCGGGAGAGATTTGCCATCCTTGCGATTTGAATCTAGATTAATCAAAACTTAACTTGTTATGACTTTTAGATTCCGCATGATATGACCAAAAAAAAAAATATTTGGAGCGGCCGACACTTTTACACAGATTTGAAGACCAACGTGCGAAGGGAAATGCAAATTTTGAACTTTTATTAATTATAATTATTAAATAGATAATAAATTTTAATAAATATTAAAATTCACAGTGAAATAAATGACAATTATTGATTACGTCTATGTTTTAAATTTATTTTTTTAAGTTTATGTAGTATTGCTCAAAAGAAAATTCTTATATGGACTTAAATTTAGGATCTAATTTAATGTAACAATTCGATTTAATGTGAGTTTTAATATTAAATAAAATTTACTTTTACTTTAATGATTATATTAAATTAGGGTTCTAGATTAGGTCCTTAAAATAGATCGCATAACATTTTTCATTAAGGTTAATAGCATTTTTAGTTTCTAATGTATGTCCATTTTGTCAATTTAATCTTCATTATATTAATTTGATTCTTTTCTTAATTGGGCAATTGATTAAGTTTTTTGATACAAATGATTGCATGTCATTCTTTTAAAGAGTATCTCATGTTCAACTCACTCACGATTATTTTGTCAAAAACTTAACGATTTATGTAAAGATCATTTAAATACAAATTAAATAATTTAATGATTAAATTAATAAAATTAATACTTTACAAACTAAACTAAGCATTTAAAGACCAAAAGTAACATTAATCCTTTCCATCATTAAAATTGGACTTTATAGCTGGACGATACGAATCCCTGCTTACCACATACACAGTCCAATATCTCTGTCTCTCTCTGTCTCTCCATATGGAGAACAATGGTAAGGAGCCACTTCTTTCCCCCAGAGAAGAAAACCAAGCAACAGACCGCCAGCAGTCCCAAGACTACCTTCGGAGACCATCAAACCTTTCTTTCGCTTCATCCTTCGTAGCAGATGCCGACGACATCGCTCCGATCACCGGAGTTCGAGATTTCTTCAGAGAATTCTGGGTCGAGTCCAGAAAGCTCTGGTACCTCGCCGGTCCGGCCATCTTCACTTCCATTTGCCAATACTCCCTCGGCGCCATCACTCAAACCTTCGCCGGCCATGTTGGTACTCTTGAACTCGCTGCCGTCTCCATCGAAAACTCCGTCATTGCCGGATTCTCCTTCGGCATCATGGTACTTATTCCTAGAACAATATCTATGCTATAATATAGTATCAAGTTCAGAAAGATTACCAAACACCCAAAACAAGAACTTCGATCTTGGATAGAATTTCTTTCATGTGTTTGACAAAGTTGTGAGTTGATGTTTTGTTTTGTCTGTTTCATGAAACTTAATTGGATCAGCTTGGCATGGGAAGTGCACTAGAGACGCTATGTGGACAAGCATACGGAGCTGGGCAGTTAGATATGTTAGGGGTATACATGCAGAGATCATGGGTTATACTCAACAGCACAGCCTTTATACTCATGTTCTTCTATATCTTCGCGACGCCATTATTGAAGCTCATCGGGCAGACGGAGGAGATATCGAACGCGGCAGGGCAGCTGGCGGTGTGGATGATACCACAGCTCTATGCCTACGCCGTCAATTTTCCGATCGCAAAGTTTCTGCAGGCACAGAGCAAGATTATGGCGATGGCGTGGATATCGGCGGTGGGTTTTGTGCTGCACACTTTTTTCAGCTGGTTGTTGATGCTGAAATTGGGGTTGGGACTTGGCGGCGGAGCGGTGGTGCTGAATGCGTCTTGGTGGTTCATAGTGTTGGCGCAAATGGTTTATATTTTTAGTGGGACATGTGGTCGAGCTTGGTCTGGGTTTTCCTGGAAGGCCTTTCACAATCTTTGGGGTTTTGTCAAGTTGTCCCTGGCTTCAGCTGTGATGCTTTGGTGAGTAGTCTCTTACCCTGTTATTTACTTGGACAAAGCTTTCGGAGCACAGCACTCAAATTGATGACATCGTTCTACCTATAAAACGACAATATTTTGAGTAATAATATCTAACTATGTTGTGCAGCACAAGAGCTTAACCCAAATTTTTGAGCGCTAATTCACCATAAATTCATAAATTTTTTTTTTATAAATTATGAATTATAATGAACAATAATAAAAAAATAAAAAATAAAAAAAATATATTAAATAATTTTTATACTCCTTTTTTTTTTTTTTTTCCCTTCTAGCTGTATTTCAGTATTTGTCTCGATAAAAGAAATTTTCAGCTAAAACCTCGCGTAAAAGTAGAAGCCTAAAGTCCGGAAAGAAGGAGGCGGCCGAGTCTTTTATAAGCATGTTGGTCTTTTTCATTTCCCCTCATTTGTCATGGGAAGGAAACAAAAGGGCATTGCAATGCCTCAAAATTCTCTTTGCATTTTTGTGTGTTTGAATTGATTTTTCTATTTTTTTTTATTAATTTTTTTTACTCATTTATCATAAATTTGTATATAAAAATTAAAATTTTAAAATTTGTTTTTAATAATTCCTATATAATTTAAATATATATGACACTCTCGAGTGTATTGGCTCGAACAATCTTGATCGTTTGATAAAAAAAATTTTAATTTTGCATACTCTACTTATATAGCACTAGGATCCAATTAAAATTCTCTTTTTTCGTAATGGTCTAGTGTTTGCTATTGTACTTCATTAATCAACACCAGGCAGTCACACACCGTTGTCTACTTTATTTTGCATTTATGTCATGTCATAAGCAAATCAATTATGGCGTACAAGATACTTTACTGGATTGCTTCCAACATGGCAGAAGAGCATTGGGCATCTTTAGAATTCTTAATCACTTTACAAGGAAACATTACAACCACTCAATGCTGTAATTATCTTGATTAACACCAATGTTACTTTAATTTATTAAATTATTAATGTATTTATTTATATTAATTAACTCCCCATTGATCATCTTTCGTGTTTTATATCCATTGAGCATGAACATACAAAACTGTATAGTTTCTTGAATATTCTATTATTATAAGTCAGATTTTTTAGGGTGAGTTTTATTATTTTTCTTTGTCAAAGACAATAATAGGGTGTCATCTTGTGACGCAAATCCTAACCTCTTGTCCCTGCTTGTCTCAGCCTAACCATTTTTTTTTTTTTTTATATATTGAAAAGTAAAAATCCACCAAACTTAATGAGAACAAATATTTCAGGTATGTGTTTGGTCAATTCTAACAATAATCATGAATCACAGCTGCCAACCTTTGTATTTTTGGGTATTATTTTTAGGTATGACTTCAATTCAATGATAAACAGAACAGGCGTACCATTATTGTGTTTCTCATTAGATTTTTCTCTTTTAAACATACATATGTGTGCAGCTTAGAAACGTGGTATTTTATGGCTTTGGTCCTTTTTGCTGGATATTTGAAGAATGCACAAGTAGCTGTGGATGCACTGTCCATATGGTGAGTTCTATCATTATTTCTTGGCTGATAACATTATTACAGAAACGTAACCATCTTTGGTTTGTGCATCTGTTGGAATAGTAGAATGACAAAGGTTTGTTCAATCTCTTAATGTCGGGTCCAACTTGTTTTTTTTCGTTTTTCCAGCAAGTATCACGTCTAACTTGTTAATAAGGTGAAGGGTTGTCAAATTTTAGAGGATGGTGATGAAGTTTGACCCAACACACAAAAATAATATAAAAAATATATGATTAGATCTCGACCATTGTAACCCTGTTGTGGAACCCACTTGCGATACGAGTTTCTATCAATAGAATTTTCACCCCCAAGTTGTGTAGGCCCTACTTTTCATATCAGCCAAATAAAACCAAGACGCCCACTTGTAGCCCTAGAAAATAAGTATCGTGTCTCATTTGGATATCTAATGTTGTAGATTGTGTCGAACTTCTCTCTTTCTAAGTCTTTTATCCACTCGGTTTTTGTCTTGTCTTCTTGAATGAATAAGGACCTCCCTCACTCTTGTTTGATTGCTTGATCCAAAAAAGTAGGTCCTTGGGTTACTTTCTTTCAAGATCAGTTTGAAAATTACGATACTTTTTCAACTTCAATCTCCATTTTTCAGTGTTATTTTAATTTATCGTTATTCGTATGCAAACATTATTTTAGATTGTTTTACAGATAGACATGCTATTGAAAAAAAAATAATTTACAATGCAATTTCATGTAAACAATGATAAAATCGAAAACTACATTAAAAAACGTGAATTTAAAATACGTTTTCATGTTCATAACTATGAATCTTTGAATAATTTAAAAATTGGAGTATAAAAAATACTATATGATTGACTCTTTAGTGGAGTAGTTGGGAAAGTTAGATTAAAATATATGTATACTAATTATTGTCTGTACCTAAAGATACTGAATAATAAAAAATGGTAAACAATAAACATATTTATATTCATATCCAAAATCAAATCACAAACATAGACAATAAATAAAGGAATTTAAGCATCGATTTATAATAGGGGTGAGAGGTGGTGACCTACAGTGGTGGTGGTAGGAGACGGTGATGACTGTGGTGGGTGGCAATGATCGTGGTGGCCGCTAGGGCGGCGGCAATGATGGTGGTGGTGGTGGCGGCTACGGTGATAGTGGCGACGATGGCGGGGGTGGCAGTGGTGGTGGTCACAGTTGTGGAAGTGACGGCGACGGTTGGGGGGTGATGGTGGCAACGACAGTGGTGGGGGTGGTGGTGAGAGCGGCGGCGACGGTGGTACCGTTAGGGGCGACGGTGGCGGTGGCGCTGGTGATAGCGTCAGCGACAATGGTAGTGGTGATGGTGGCGGCGGCGGTGGTGGAGGTAGTAATAGGACGCTTTCAAACACTATTTTTTAAAAGTATTAATGAAAAATAATTTTTTAAAATATTTTTAAGTATTGTAGAGTAATATTTTAATAGAAAATACTTCACTCTTAGGGGGACGATGGAGACACTGTTGGCCTGTTTTTAATGATTGAGATTAAATGGTTTTAAATCTTTCTACTTAGCCTTTTTCATGTGGTGCGTTGTGTCCACATCGGCAGCCATTAGTTTAATAAACCAATCCGATAAATTTTCAGCATCAACTGTTTTTAACTCAAGTTTCTTTAATTGTCATACGTTGAATCAAATAAAGGAATATTTTTCATACTCTCTAGAATCTCAGGTTTTAATATCTCGTACCCCATAAGAAAAGCATCATAAAGATAAGAAAGTCCCAACTGTATCACACAATTGCATTAGATTAATCATACTCATAAAAACACTTTTTTATAATGTCGACTCTGTTGGTGACACTACTGAAGAGAGAAGGGACAAATAATATATATATATTTATAGCCTTTAGACTTTATAATTGTGGAGTAGTTGCGCCTTCTTTGAGGAGGAATTGACCGTTGAAAGTTAGCAGCTTGACAGAGGAGTTGGGCCTTTCCATGAGATGGGGTTATTTCAGTAAAACAGAAAAAGCTTTGGGCCTCAAATGAACGACGTCTATATGGGCCGAATATGTCAATAGATTAAGATATAAACTTGAGCCACGGCGGAGGGGTGATTTCTTAATTCTTAGGATTGATCCCTAATTTTTAGACTGCACTGAGCTAGAATTTTATCCCGTTGAATTATAACTTGATCCATATATACTTTTTCATCGGTACCGTAGCCACTCGGTGCTGCTGATTTTACAGTAATAGACTTGTATTAGTGCAATTTAGGACTAAAGTTGGATCTTTAACCAGCATCTCGTTGAACAACTTCGACTAATGTAGACCAAACTGAGTAATGGGATTTATTGGAAGAGTCAACCATGTATTAGTATAGTTAGTATGAATTTCAAAGGGTAGTTCAAATAGTAATAGAGATGAGCCATAGATTCAGACGTGATGAGTTTGAATTTTGACAATTCTTTGATGTTTACCACAAATTGGAGAGCCTTTTTTTGGACAGTTTGAGAAATTGTTACAGCTCCTCCTGTTCTTGTTCTTGTTGCTTAATTATGAACATTCTAATTTGCAGCACAAACATAGTGGGCTGGGGAGTGATGGTAGCCATTGGATGCAATGCAGCTATAAGGTTTGTTTCAAAACTATTAGCATCAAAGTTTCCCTTCATATGTTAATCTACTCTAAAAACTTGTGCTGTCAAAAGGACGTAACATAAGTATTTATCGGTTTTGTGTAATATAAACATACAGTGTAAGGGTATCAAATGAACTAGGGGCGGCGCACCCAAGAACGGCGAAATTTTCAGTTGCAGTGGTGGTGATTTCTTCATTTTTCATCGGTCTCTTGCTCTCCCTCATTCTCATCATCTTCCGAAAGCAGTATCCATCCCTATTTTCTGACAGTGAAGAAGTCAAAAACCTTGTGTATACCCTCACGCCATTGCTAGCGCTATGCGTTGTCATCAACAATATTCAACCAGCTCTCTCAGGTAATTATTATATATATTGTTGCATTTCCTTGTTTGACACCATAGTTTGTCGCACGATTCAAGCATGAACGACATCCAAGCACTTAGAACTCAGCTCAGGCTCAACTTCGTTTTAGCTCCTTCCAATTACAAAATGAAGCAAAGTAATCAAGTTTTTGCGCTCGTTTTATAAATGAGCAAAATGTGAGTAATGTGTAGCTCGGCTTGACTTGGATATATTCACATTTATAAATTATTTTAGTTCTATTATCAAACAATCTCTATTTGAAAGACAAAACATTTAAAACCTCTTTTCAAATAGATCCAGATTTTATGGTTGATCATACTTATTTTGAAAGATTCTTGTTAAGAAGTTTGTTAAAATTGAGCTCGAGTTCGACAGGAAGGATACAAGAGACAAAACTGATTGTGGTGTGGTTGCATTGCATTGTTGCCAGGGGTGGCTATTGGAGCTGGGTGGCAAGCTGTTGTTGCCTATGTGAATATTGGATGCTACTATATATTTGGTATTCCTTTGGGTCTTTTAATGGGTTACAAACTCGACATGGGCGTTATTGTAAGTACAAATTTATTCCATTTCCTGCTATTTCCTTGTAACGCTTCTCTATTAATTAATTAAATAATTTTGAAATGAAATGCTTAGAATAGAAATGGACTTGATTATCTTTATTACTTTCAGGGTATCTGGTCTGGCATGTTAACAGGGACAGTGATACAAACCCTAATCCTGTTTTGGATAGTTTATAGAACCAACTGGAATAAAGAGGTAAGCACTCTAAACAATCACACATCCTTTGTATGGTTCAATCTTTTCGATTATCTCTGTTTGGTTTACATCTTAAAAACTGTTTTTTCTGTTTTCGAAATTAGTTTTTGGGAGAAATGTTGTTTGGCCAAATATTTTTTTTTTTTTGTTTTTTGTAAATTGAGAACAAAAAGTAGGTAAATTCAGAGAAAAAGTTATGACTGTTTTATTTCTATTTTAGAAATAACATTTTCATAATTTAAAAAACACCACCGCCACAGCCACACTTCCATCACCATCACCACCACCACCACCACCATCACATTTATGTTTTCATTATTTTTTGGATTACTGTTCGAACAAGTTTTACTGTTTTTTATTCCGTAAAATAGGTTTTAGAAACAAAACAAGTTTTGCGGTACAAGAAACATTAAAACACTTTTTTTTCTAAAAAATAGTTTTTTGAGATGCAAACTAAGCCTAACCTTAATTTTTCAGAATTGTAAATCCCCCACTGTATAGAAAACTCACTTGTATATTAGGAGTTTCGTTTTAAGTTCGACTTTTAAATTACCTTCAAAAGAGGTCACCCATTTCCAAGACTAATGGAGGCCTTAATCTGGTGTGATGTGCAGGCTTCTATTGCTGGACAGAGAATCAAACACTGGGGAGGGGACCCAGATGCTAAACAAAATGATTTAGAGAAATAAGCCATCCCCAAGCAAGGAGAGGATCCGGATTCGTTCTGATTTTTTTCCTTTAAATTTTGTTGCTTAATATATCAGGTATGTATAATAATCATATACAATATAGGAAAATGCTATGCTTATCAAAAAATTTTATCAAATCTTTCCGTACTAAATGATGTTGAACAATTTTCGTCATTGAATATTAATGAAATTTATTTATTTCATGGTGAAAAATTGTGTCATATCATTTGGGATAGAAATTTAGTAAAAAAAGTTGATAAGCATAGTATTACCCTATAATATATCGCACGCAAGTTCGTGACTGCATAAAAACAATCAATCACATCCATGAGTTTACACGATGAATGACTGAATGAGTAATTAGTAGGCTTGTCAATCATATTAATCGAGTGAAGTGGTTTCATATCGTGTCGTAATGAGTTTATGTCAAATAATATTTTACTTGTATTTGATTCTTTAATTAATTCAGGTCTAACAAGTTATGTCACATTAACTTTGTGTCGTGTATAATTGATATATAAATAAATCGTATTTTATATATTTTTTTTATTAATTTCATATATAATCAATTAATTTATTAATCAGCTCGGATCAAATCCACCCGTTTACTAAACGATTGACTTGAATAAAATCGAAAGCCTTTAACTTTGTGTCCCATAATATCCCCAAATGAAAATTTCTCATTTTTTCTTAATTTTGCATCATCTATCGTTAAAATCATTTGCTGGTGAGTCCCCAATAAATGATGGGTGCTGGAAATTTGAAAAAAATAAAATAAAAATCTTCAAATTGAAGGCTCCAGATCCAAGACAACTGGCGTGACTGCCTTCAAATCATGAAGAAATACTTCCCTGGTCCTTAATTTTTGTCGGTAAATATTAAAAAGTTATTCGTTATGCTTTGGTTTGGTCGTGGAAAGATAAAAAGTTAAAAAGATGAAAAATTTTAGAGATAAATAAAATATTATATTTGGTAAGAAAAGAAAGTAGGAAGGATGAAAAAGTAAATGAACTAATTTTCCTTACAACTCACCAAAATTAATCTCTTCAAAATCGAAAGAAAAATGGATGAAAAGTTAATTATTTGTAATGAAATGTATTTTATTTGTCTATATATTTTTTTATATATACATATATTATATATACATTAATTTCATATAAAAATACAATGGTAAAATATGTATATATATATATTAAAAAATTTTAAATATAAATTTAAAAATAAATAAAAAATAAAAAATTTTAATTAAAAAAAAATATTTTTTCATCTTAATTAATGATGAAAATTTTTAACTCAACACGATGACACTACTTGAACTCGATACGAATATAAACAGGTCAACTCACAATTCGACACGACACAATTAGTTAAATGAGTTAAGTTATGTTTGACAAATATTTGACATAAACCCGTAATGACTCAACACGAATCTGACACGACACGACTCGATTGTCACCCCTAATCTTAGTTAACAAAAAAAAATAAAAATAGTCATTTTTATTTTCCATCTATCCAACCAAACACAAAGGAAAGAAAATATATTCTTCCTACTTTCTATCCTTAAAGGATAGAAAGTGTATTTTTCATACTTTCCATCATTGAAGAATAGAAAGTGGTCTCAATCCTATAAAATTAACATTAATTTAAAATTCATAAGATTAAAATTAATTCATAAAATGTTAATTAATTTTATGAAATTACATGTCAATTTAATGTAACTAAATAAAGGGTCAGGACCAGTTTAGAAAAAAAAAAAAAAAAGTTCGACTAATTGTGATGGATCCTATTTAATTAGAACCACCAGAAATTTAGTTTGGTCCCAATTTTTGGACTATTAAATGCATTAAAATCAATCTCATATAATCATGATTGATTTTAATTGAGTGGAATCACAAAATAATAATAATAATCATATTTTGGCATTGTGATCGATCTTAATTAATCATGATCGCTCATGATTATTAAATGTAATATTACTGCCTCCATATTTGCGCAACTACCATAATAAAAGGAACCTACCAGTATCAATTGACCCATAGAATTCCGAAGAATAGCCCCTTCTCCTAACTCCCCATGATTCCCTTTTGAAGCATCATCCACATTACGCTTAATCAAACCATTAGCTGGGAATTTCCAAGCTATCCACCAAATGTGTATCCTCACTGCACCAGAGTAAGAGACCTGTAGTGATTGTAGTAACTCTATATCTTAAAACCCTTCGACATTTCCATGGAATCGCAGCCTTCCCATGAACCATCATCACTAGAATTTGAGAATCAAATTCAATTAGTAAAGGGTAATCCCCCAACCCATACTGCAGAACCAAATTCAAGCAATCAAACAAAGCCTTACACTCGGTCTGCATGTTAGAGGCTGCCCCCATAAAAAATCGAAGCAGCAACTACCATACAACCTTCAGCATTCCTCAACACTGTTTTAAGTAAACGGCTTCGTCAAAATCAAAAACTTTTGTTATTAAGTTCGTTTAGGTATATTAAAAAACAGGTAATAGACATGAAAGATGTTACATATTTGTCCAAAGAATTAGCGAAGACTGAGTGCATAAACAAGAACTAAGCTAATACATCTAAGCATCAAATCCAACTACGTAGCCTAGACCATTCAACTCAATCTAAGGGCATACCGCATACCCCAATATCCCAGTGAAAAACAAGCAATCATAAGGCTCAAGTGAAGTAAAGATCACCCAAAGAAACAGAATTGAATCTGAAACAGAGTTGTCACAAATAAGAATAATCACAAGAACAAACTCACATTGATCAGACTTGAATCTGAATTCTCTGATACACATGGCGCGAGGTAGAGATAGAATGGAGAGAGAAAGGAGTCGTCGAGATATTGCCAGTGATCGCCTACCTCTCCGGCATCGTCCTTGTAGTCGGTCACCCAAATGGAAGAAGGGCTGTTGATAGACCCTTGGGAGGAGATGAGTTATCGGGAGAGAAAGTCGACGGGTTGGGAGAAAAAAAAAATGAGGTAGAAGTGGTTGGGCTGAAGTACTTTTGAATAAGTAAAAGTTATATTTTTTAACTTTTATTTTTGAGTTTATTTAAGTGATAAAATGATTTTTACTTTTTTAAAAGTATTTTTAATAAGTTAATCCAAACACTATTTTTTCTTATGAAAGCACTTAAGTCAAAAGTTCAAAAAACACTTTTTTTTTTAAGTTAATTCAAACACACTCTTAATCTATTAAGCACTTATTGGAAAATAGAGATAAAGGTAAATTTGGAATAAAAAATATTAATTATATTTTGATTTTGTTAAACGACAGATATTATTGAACAAAAAAAATTGTTCATAACGACAAAATATTTAAAAACGGAGAAAATATTAACAACCAAGGTGCATTGAATGCATCACTATGCTCGATGAGAAACCACACAACTACCCCAATAAACCACATTAATGCATCAATATGCTTGATCAATTAAGTCCTCAGCAAACCAAAATTACTAATAATTAGGACCATTCTTGCAATGTTAATTACACCCACACAAAAGCTGGATGTTACTCTTATCAAAGTTCTCGTATGCAGATCCTCTTCTGTGCATCAAGGAACAACATAATAATACTGTTCTCCCAAAAATATGTCGTTTTGGTCCCTTTTTTTCGTTGCGTCAAACGGTGCCGTATACATAAATCATAAACAGTACATCAGATCATCATTCCCCCAAAAACGTCTTAGCCCCAAAATAGCTCCCAAATTTTCGAAATCCTGCCATTCTTCCCACGGTGAACCAAAGAGAGAACGGCTTCCTTCTTCCTTCTTCCTTGCACATGATTAACTCTCTCCAAAAATGTAAAAGGCCCAAAACAGTCCCCAAAATTTTGACTCCTACCATTCTTCCCACGGTGAACCAGAGAGAAAACGACTTCCTTCTTGAGTCATCTTCCTTCTTACACAAATGAAGGTCTCTGCTCTCCTCTTCTTTTCATAAGTTTTGTTATTAATAAATTTTGCCCTAAAAAACAAAGTAGCTTGAGCAAAATCTGGAATCCTACACATCTGTGGAGAAGATTTTTTTTTGCGGTAAATTGTCCAAACTTGAGCATCTTGGAACAAAATTTTTTGCCCCCTAATTGCACATAATTCTCTTATCTCTCTTCCTCTGCTGATCGGGCGATTCGACGGCGAAGGAGTCTTGGAATTTTTTTGGGGCCAAGTGTCCCTGACGTTTTGGGTCTTCGACGTTTTTGGAACGATGTTCTAGTTTATTGGGGTCTGATGTATTGTTCATGGTTTATATAAACGGCACCGTAACGTTTGATGCAACAACCAAAAAACATTGAGAGGACAAAACGACGTAGTTTTCGGAGTACAGCGGTTGTCTTGTTCCTTGGCGCACAACTGAGGATCCGCATCCCAAAAGTTCTCGAGCGTTCTAATTCAAGTAAATATCAAACGGACTAAAAATGAGAATAAACAAGATGTATTAAATGATGTAGTGCTGATATGATGTTGTGTTTTTGACCTTATTTTACTGATTTAGATATTAAAATTCTTATTTTATTTTATACGACACATCATTTATTTCATATTTTTGTCTAATTTTTAAGTTAATCTAGTATTATTCTCCCAATTAAGTTGGTGCTTGCGAATTGCAATGTGATTTAATACATGTCGAGCTTACTTTGTAGTCACGTCGTATAGTGTAACAAGACTAACAACTGAGTTTATCACCGAGTTTGAAAAAATACCTGGTTAAGAGAGTTGTATAAAAAGTTTAATAACTCCCTGCCCCCACAGAAGATGCGTTGACAACCATTTTGAATGAATAATAAGAATCCATATTACCCTCCCAACCATCACCGTCATTTTGGGAAAGGGCTTGAGGCAACAGTAATTTTGTTTTATTGTAACTCGGAAGTCACGAGTTTAACTCATAAAAATAGTTTATTTTTTTGCAAAAGATAAGAATATATATATTTAACCTTTCTCGTACCCCTACAATGATAGATTGAAATCCTCTTTATTATAATTTCACTCAATTCACTGAATAGTAGATTATCAATTGTGTATTGATGAGTGGTGCACATATAAGTAAATAAATGGATCTCACGTGAATATGTCTTTTTTCTTTTTTTTTTTTAATGCACTGGCAAAACTGATTCAATTTTGGTAATGTGAATAGCTGGAGATTTGTGATCAATTGTAGACTAATGATTTTCGGAGATTGACTTGGGGACAAAACCAAGAAGCATTTAAGGACTCATACCTCACCAACTAAAACAAAATTATCTCTAAAAAGCAAAACCCCTGTAGCTCTCTGCCTCTGTCTCTAGCTATGGACAACACCAAGCAGCCACTTCTTGACAAACACCATTTACAGAACCCCCCTCCCACTCTGACAGCTTCGCATCCTTCTTTTTCATCGTCTTTTTCTGCCGTTGAAGACGACATTGCACCCATTAATGGCGTTCATGACTTCATCAGAGAATTCAGGGTCGAGTCAAAGAAGCTCTGGTACCTCGCCGGTCCGGCAATCTTCACCTCCATTTGTCAATACTCCATCGGAGCAGTTACTCAGGTGTTTGCAGGGCATTTAGGAACTATTCAACTTGCCGCTGTTTCCATAGAAAACTCCGTCGTCGCCGGTTTCGCCTTCGGCATCATGGTACTCCCACCATTTCCTTCTCAATACCCCAAAATTATTTTCCGTAATCCGATATAAACAAGTTTAATTTTTATTTTTTGACGAATTAAAGCGACAAAAGACCTGCCACTTACAATATCATTCAATGTCAATTTTATAAACTATTACTGAACTGATTGAAACGCTTTTCACTGTTGTTGTGTAGTTCTGAATGCATACTTGTGTGTGTGTGTGTGTGTTTTGTTTAATGATGCATGAACTTGATTATGGCAGTTGGGCATGGGGAGTGCACTAGAGACACTTTGTGGACAAGCTTTTGGAGCAGGACAGCTCGATATGCTCGGAGTCTACATGCAGAGATCATGGGTTATTCTCAACACAACGGCATTAGCATTAATGTTTCTCTATATTTTCGCCGTGCCGATTCTAAAACTCATCGGCCAGACGGCTGAGATATCGAACTGGGCGGGAATTTTCTCTATCTGGATGATACCGCAACTCTTTGCTTATGCTATGAATTTCCCTATCCAGAAGTTTTTACAAGCACAGAGCAAGATGGTCGTGATGGCGGTGATAGCCGTGGTGGCGGTGCTTCTACACACTTTCCTCAGCTGGCTGCTGATGCTGAAGCTGGAGTTGGGACTGGCCGCTGCCGCCGTGGTGCTGAACTCGTCGTGGTGGTTCATTGTTGCAGCCCAACTTTTTTATATTTTCAGTGGGACTTGTGGCCAAGCTTGGTCTGGATTTTCTTGGATGGCCTTTCGCAATCTCTCGGGATTTGTTAGGTTATCCCTCGAATCAGCTATAATGCTTTGGTAAGTCTCGCACACTTAATCGTCTTGTTTAATTGTATTTTTGGATTATCAGATATTATACTCAAACTGTTCTCATGATTATAACACAAATTTTAGATGCGATGAATCACCGACATACCAACTCAAGTTAATAACTGCTAAAATTTTCTCATTCGTGCGTCATGCCTTAAGATGACATTTCATAAACTATTCATGACCAGGCACGATCATATCTTAATTGCTACAGCCCTAGTTAATGTTATCTGTGTTTTCTGGTAGGTGCAATATCCATTTGTGCTACCTAGGTATACCATCATAATAACTTAGTTATTACCTATATATTTTTTTAGGATAATGTTATACTTATCAATTTTTTTTTTTTGTAAATCTTTCTCTCAAATAATGTGATATAATTTTTTATTATTAGATAAGTAAATTTTATTAATGTACAATAATAAATATTGTGTCGCATCATTTAAAATAAAAAATTAATTAAAAAATTTGAATAAATATAGCATTTTTCATTATTTTATCTTTATTTGCCATAAATGGAGAAACCTATATGCTAGTAAGAGACTAGCTGTCAAGTATGTGGTTCCCAAGTTTCCAGTTATTCTCCACGGTACATGTGGTTCACATTGGAACTGAGTTGTGGTTCTAGTCTAATGCCTAAATGCTAGTCAGAGACTAGCTGTCGAGTATGTGGTTCCCAAATTTCCAGTTATTGTGTGTCTCAATTGTACACATGGTTCACGTTGGAACTGAGCTGTGGTCCTAGTCTAATGATAGAGTTGTTTTTAACCTTATACAGTAGGGAGGTTCTAGTCGCATCGGCTAAAGTCACCGTTTTATGAACTAAGTTTTTAAAAAAAAATTATTAAAAAATTACATAACATTATTTTGAATCGGGTCATCATCTGAATCAATACAAATTAGACTCCACAAAAAAAAATTCAACACATTAAAAAATATATATATATATTTCACCCTCATAACTTAAAAGGCTCAATTTGGTAGGAAATAGTGAGTGTGACTCAAATTCATTAAACCCAAAATACAATGGGCTAGTAGATGGAGCTTATATGCAATGTAGCAAAAAACCCATTTGCCATNATTCAATTTTGGTAATGTGAATAGCTGGAGATTTGTGATCAATTGTAGACTAATGATTTTCGGAGATTGACTTGGGGACAAAACCAAGAAGCATTTAAGGACTCATACCTCACCAACTAAAACAAAATTATCTCTAAAAAGCAAAACCCCTGTAGCTCTCTGCCTCTGTCTCTAGCTATGGACAACACCAAGCAGCCACTTCTTGACAAACACCATTTACAGAACCCCCCTCCCACTCTGACAGCTTCGCATCCTTCTTTTTCATCGTCTTTTTCTGCCGTTGAAGACGACATTGCACCCATTAATGGCGTTCATGACTTCATCAGAGAATTCAGGGTCGAGTCAAAGAAGCTCTGGTACCTCGCCGGTCCGGCAATCTTCACCTCCATTTGTCAATACTCCATCGGAGCAGTTACTCAGGTGTTTGCAGGGCATTTAGGAACTATTCAACTTGCCGCTGTTTCCATAGAAAACTCCGTCGTCGCCGGTTTCGCCTTCGGCATCATGGTACTCCCACCATTTCCTTCTCAGTACCCCAAAATTATTTTCCGTAATCCGATATAAACAAGTTTAATTTTTATTTTTTGACGAATTAAAGCGACAGAAGACCTGCCACTTACAATATCATTCAATGTCAATTTTATAAACTATTACTGAACTGATTGAAACGCTTTTCACTGTTGTTGTGTAGTTCTGAATGCATACTTGTGTGTGTGTGTGTGTGTTTGTGTTTTTTTTGTTTAATGATGCATAAACTTGATTATGGCAGTTGGGCATGGGGAGTGCACTAGAGACACTTTGTGGACAAGCNTTTGTTTAATGATGCATGAACTTGATTATGGCAGTTGGGCATGGGGAGTGCACTAGAGACACTTTGTGGACAAGCTTTTGGAGCAGGACAGCTCGATATGCTCGGAGTCTACATGCAGAGATCATGGGTTATTCTCAACACAACGGCATTAGCATTAATGTTTCTCTATATTTTCGCCGTGCCGATTCTAAAACTCATCGGCCAGACGGCTGAGATATCGAACTGGGCGGGAATTTTCTCTATCTGGATGATACCGCAACTCTTTGCTTATGCTATGAATTTCCCTATCCAGAAGTTTTTACAAGCACAGAGCAAGATGGTCGTGATGGCGGTGATAGCCGTGGTGGCGGTGCTTCTACACACTTTCCTCAGCTGGCTGCTGATGCTGAAGCTGGAGTTGGGACTGGCCGCTGCCGCCGTGGTGCTGAACTCGTCGTGGTGGTTCATTGTTGCAGCCCAACTTTTTTATATTTTCAGTGGGACTTGTGGCCAAGCTTGGTCTGGATTTTCTTGGATGGCCTTTCGCAATCTCTCGGGATTTGTTAGGTTATCCCTCGAATCAGCTATAATGCTTTGGTAAGTCTCGCACACTTAATCGTCTTGTTTAATTGTATTTTTGGATTATCAGATATTATACTCAAACTGTTCTCATGATTATAACACAAATTTTAGATGCGATGAATCACCGACATACCAACTCAAGTTAATAACTGCTAAAATTTTCTCATTCGTGCGTCATGCCTTAAGATGACATTTCATAAACTATTCATGACCAGGCACGATCATATCTTAATTGCTACAGCCCTAGTTAATGTTATCTGTGTTTTCTGGTAGGTGCAATATCCATTTGTGCTACCTAGGTATNTACACTTAATCGTCTTGTTTAATTGTATTTTTGGATTATCAGATACCATACTCAAACTGTTCTCATGGTTATAACACAAATTTTAGATGCGATGGATCACCGACATACCAACTCAAGTTAATAACTGCTAAAATTTTCTCATTCGTGCGTCATGCCTTAGATGACATTTCATAAACTATTCATGACCAGGCACGATCATATCTTAATTGCTACAGCCCTGGTTAATGTTATCTGTGTTTTCTGGTAGGTGCAATATCCATTTGTGCTACCTAGGTATACCATCATAATAACTTAGTTATTACCTATATATTTTTTTAGGATAATGTTATACTTATCAATTTTTTTTTTTTTTAAATCTTTCTCTCAAATAATGTGATATAATTTTTTATTATTAGATAAGTAAATTTTATTAATGTACAATAATAAATATTGTGTNTTTTTGTAAATCTCTCTCTCAAAAAATGTGATCTAATTTTTTATTATTAGATAAGTAAATTTTATTAATGTACAATAATAAATATTGTGTCGCATCATTTAAAATAAAAAATTAATTAAAAAATTTGAATAAATATAGCATTTTTCATTATTTTATCTTTATTTGAAACCTATATGCTAGTAAGAGACTAGCTGTCAAGTATGTGGTTCCCAAGTTTCCAGTTATTCTCCACGGTACATGTGGTTCACATTGGAACTGAGCTGTGGTTCTAGTCTAATGCCTAAATGCTAGTCAGAGACTAGNCCATAAATGGAGAAACCTATATGCTAGTAAGAGACTAGCTGTCAAGTATGTGGTTCCCAAGTTTCCAGTTATTCTCCACGGTACATGTGGTTCACATTGGAACTGAGCTGTGGTTCTAGTCTAATGCCTAAATGCTAGTCAGAGACTANAGTTATTCTCCACGGTACATGTGGTTCACATTGGAACTGAGCTGTGGTTCTAGTCTAATGCCTAAATGCTAGTCAGAGACTAGCTGTCGAGTATGTGGTTCCCAAATTTCCAGTTATTGTGTGTCTCAATTGTACACATGGTTCACGTTGGAACTGAGCTGTGGTCCTAGTCTAATGATAGAGTTGTTTTTAACCTTATACAGTAGGGAGGTTCTAGTCGCATCGGCTAAAGTCACCGTTTTATGAACTAAGTTTTAAAAAAAAAATTATTAAAAAATTACATAACATTATTTTGAATCGGGTCATCATCTGAATCAACACAAACTAGACTTCACAAAAAAAAATCCAACACATTAAAAAATATATATATATATATTTCACCCAGATAACTTAAAAGGCTCAATTTGGTAGGAAATAGTGAGTGTGACTCAAATTCATTAAACCCAAAAAACAATGGGCTAGTAGATGGAGCTTATATGCAATGTAGCAAAAAACCCATTTGCCATCGTATTGTCGATTGCCATGGTTGAATAATAGGTTGGAGTCTGTGGGCATAATCCCTGTTAGGGATGGCAATGGACTAGAGAAAAACAGGTATTCGTTCAAACTCGTTCTGTTTGGACCGGAGATGAACTGTACGTATTGAACAGTGATCGTATACGAGGATACTCGTATAAACTCGTGCGGGGATGAAGGCGGGGATGAACTTATTCTTACCCCCGCCTCGTCTCCACCCCGTCCCCGTTACCCATTATATATATATATATATATATATATAAACTCTCAATTAAAACCCTTTGTTTTGATTTTCTGTTGGTTAGTTTTGTGACTCAAAATTATAATGTTTGTGCTTCCTTTATTCATCTTGTGATTCATTTCTTATTCATATTGAGGTATTTTTTTTTGATGCATCGAGTCACTGTCACAGTTTTTCAACTGGGACCTCCTTTGTGCTCCTGTTGCTTCAGTCTCATATGACAATTGCATTGTTGCTTTTAGAATTTAGATTGAAGAATAGTTTTGATTCTCCTTACCCAATTCTAGATTTAGATTTTAGAGACAGGTCAAAGGATAGAATAAGATGTGTGACAATGCAATGATTTGTAGTAACAACGTTGGAGGGAACACATGATGGTTAATTTAAAAGGGGTGTAACTATCTGGCAGCCTTGGTTTTGCCGTGTATTGTAGAAGGGAAACAGAGAAACAAAAGAAATAGAGCAGCAGCCCTAGGTTGATTTAATGTGCATTTTGGTGGTATTTCTGGGACTGTTTCTAGGCTATTTTGGTGCTGTTTTGGGGTTGCTTCTGGTACTATTTTTCTGGGGCTGTTTTGCTGTTGTGATTATGTTAGAGGTGCTGCTGTTTTGTTGTTAATGTTGCTCCTGATGTGTTTTTTTAGTGCTGTTGGAGCATTGAATTTATTAAAACATTAGGATGTTTATTGGATTTAGAGATCTTCGGTTAGAGTTATCATTTGTCACATTTTTTATATTGTTACCTCTTTTATTCTTGATCATAGCCAAAAAAAAAAAAATTAAGCTATTTTTAATCTTTAGAATTTTGGATTATGTTGACTTGAACTTGAACTTGAACTTGGGCTTATGCTTGGGCTTGGGCTTGGGCTTGGGCTTGGGCTTGGACAGTAGAGGAGAAGCGGGGACGGGGACGGGGATTATAAATTTATCCGCGGATGGGGATAGGAATGAAAATTATACCTGTTAGCGAGGGTGGACTGGAGATGGACGAAGATTTTTTAAGCGGGTACAGGGATGAAAACTATAACCCCCGCCCCCACTTCGGTCCATTGACATCCCTAGTCCCTGTGATACAGTATGAGTATACTGGGGATTTCTAATATGTATATGATATTAGTATTTTTTTTTGGGAGTAAGTTTCCTATTCTCAAAAACAATGCCTCAAATTTTAAGTCACACCTCTCAAGACTTTTGCAGCTTAGAATTTTGGTATTTTATGGCGTTAATCCTCTTCGCTGGATATTTAAAGAATGCACAAGTTGCAGTGGATGCCATGTCCATATGGTGAGTTCTATCATTTCTATGTTATCTTATATTCACACACACACACACACACACGAGTATTTCATGACACAATTCTCAGATAAGGTTTATATACCAAGAGACTTTTCAATTGTATTGGTTTAAAAAAATACTATCAAACTTAGAGGAAATGTTGCTGATCTTGCTAATACTGCACAATTTTTTATTTTTCGATGGAAATCGCAGCATGAACATACTCGGCTGGACTTTCATGGTGGCTCTTGGATTCAATGCAGCCATAAGGTTTGTTGCAGAAAAAAAAACACTTTCATGAAGCTTAACTTTCATATACTGACAAAACAGCATGAAAATTTACTGCCAGATCTGAATTATTGTGCAGTGTGAGGGTGTCAAATGAATTGGGGGCAGCACACCCCAGAACCGCGAAATTCTCAGTGGTAGTGGTCACAATGACTTCATTTTTTATCGGTATCTTCCTCGCCCTCATTCTGATTATCGCCCGGAAGCAGTACCCTGCCTTTTTCTCAGACAGTATAGAAGTCCAGCAGCTTGTATATGATGTTACACCATTGCTAGCAGTCACCATTGTCATTGACAATGTTCAACCTACTTTTTCTGGTATAATCAATCTTTTTCTGCAAATTGTTTGTACTAATAGGTCATACAGCTTGAGAATCTGTGTGTGCATGTGTGTGTGTTTCTCTCTGATTATCGGGGGATAAATCGTACTGTTGCAGGGGTGGTGATTGGAGCAGGATGGCAAGCTTATGTCGCATATGTAAACATTGTGTGCTACTATTTAGTTGGTATTCCTATAGGGATCATAATGGGCTATGTCTTTGATATGGGAGTGAAGGTGAATCATTTTTTCCTTCTCTTCTTGTTCATGTCTGAAAATGTTGCCCTGCTATGTCTTTGATATGGGAGTAAGTTTTTGTTCTTGACAATTTTCAGGGTATCTGGTATGGGATGATTTCAGGAACTGGCTTACAAACTTGTGTCCTGCTCTGGATGATTTACAGAACCAACTGGAACAAAGAGGTAAGCAAATGCATTTCACAAACATCAACAACCTTTATACCCACACCTACAAATACATAAACTTCCTCAGCACCATAATCCCACGATTAGAGGTGACAATCTTAACTCATTACTCATTAACCCGTCCAACTCACCCATAAATAAATGGATTAGATACCTATATTAATTAATGCGGATTCTAAATGGATTGAAGAATATGATTCATTTTAATTAAGCAGGTTAAGATGGATTACAAATGAGTATTCGTTAGATTGAGTATTTATCTTTTTATTAAATAACACAAGTAATAAATTAAATAAATATACTAATCTATATCTATTTCTATACCTATACTACTCAACATCTACGAAAAATTTTTGATTTCCTATTTTATCCCTAATTATTATAATAAAGTCAATTATACCCACCTATATTCTTTTATCTAATTTATATTTTTTACACCTATTTGACTTTCAACTTATTTTGAACTCTTTTATAAGGACTTTTAAATTCTTTTGAACTCATTTATTAGTAGTACAGTTACTTATATTTATCTATATCTATATGACGAAATAAAATTCTATATATGTTAAATTATTGAGCAATGCTATTGAGACTTAATATGTTGCCCTAATTCACTGTGACATTTGGATTGACTGTAGGCCCCAACAAATATTAAAATTTGGTGTTAATTCAATGATTCCTATGAAGACACATTATTATATCAACAAATTAAGTTAGATTTTTAAGTCCAAATATTATTATTCTAAATTATTATACGCATATAGTTACCAAATTGAATTCCACGGTTTAATATATATTATATTTATTTTTTGATATGTAATAATATAATAATATTGTAAACGATCTAATCAATCTATTTAACAAAATAAAAATTAATAATTATATAATATATGTGCAAATGCTTAAAAGTGTCAACGTGTTGGAATAAAAGAATAGTAGTAAGACTTGAATCTGTTCTGTCTACAGGCTTCTATTGCTGGAGACAGGGTAAAACAATGGAGAGGGGAGCCAGATGCTAGGGCCAAAGATGCCGATAGCATAAACTGAGAGCAAAGGCCAGTACAACTACATTCAACGGTCAAATTTCAGTATATGTATGTTGCTCAAAAAATGCAGCTTTCTTGGCCAACGGCTACACAATTGATGTTTGTCCAGTTCGAAGTGATGGTTGTTCTTGTTACTTCCATGGAAGGAAATACGAGAATTTATGACTAAATTCCACATTACTAGATCATGGTGTAAGCTTGATCGAGAGTTTTTCCATTTTTGGGTGTGAATGAAGACGACCAAACTGAAAACTAAGGTGTTCATATAGGCAAATTGGGAGGATATTCCTATATTTTCAATCAACCGCGTAATTAATTAATTAGTGAACCTTAAGTTCTAACAACTAAGTCTATGGGGATAGACTTGGATGATTNTCCTATATTTTCAATCAACCGCGTAATTAATTAATTAGTGAACCTTAAGTTCTAACAACTAAGTCTATGGGGATAGACTTGGATGATTTCTTCATTATTATTTTCAATTACGGCTCCTTCAGTTTGCTATTATAAATCTGGTTAGAGTTGATTTTTGGGTGAAAAGTTACGATTTGAAAAATTTTGCAAAAAAATCTGAGTTAGAAAAAGTCTCACAAAAATCATTTAGGATTTTTTTTTGTGTCAAAATAAAAAAAAAATAATTACATATATATATATAGATTATACATAATAATTCCTAAAATATGAATTTTATAATTTTTATGTCAATAATAATATTTTATAAATATAATAAAATAAAAAAATTATGCGAATCCTTGACAAAATTTTAAAAAATTCAAAAAAATATATATAAAATTAGCTTCTTCAATCAACCTAAATAAGTCCTTTCGGTTCCAAAAAATTGTTGCATAAACTGTTAAAAAAAATCAAAATCTAAACATGCTTGATTTATTTTATTCCATAGCCTTTAAAAACTAACTATGTAAGTTAGCTATAAATAGATCCTATTTAGTATTAGAATTTTAGATTGACACTTATAACTATTGGGAATTGTATAATATATTGTGGAATTGTAGGATCAAAAACATACCTTATTCGCTTTAATCCTAAAAATCGTTTGAGGATGTTCCACGTACTTTAAAATCTGAAAATCGTCTTTTATTCGATTATTTGGGCAGTATCGTGTTGTTGCATAGTAAGAATCAACACCGAGTTTCAACAGCACAAAAATCTTTCAACGTTATGTAGAAAGAGAGAGAAGAGAGTATGAGAGTTTTAACATTGGATGAATTATTAGAGGTGTCATCTATTGGATTGCCTTGAGTTTATATAGGTAACTAATAGGTGTCATTAAGAGACACATCTTATAGGAACATGTCTGTTAATATTTAACAAATATGTATTTTGGGTGAAGGATGTATTTTAGTAAAGGATACCTCCAAAAGACATGTCTCTTTGGACATTTTTTAATTTGGGTCAACCCACCATGAACGCCCCGGTTCGGGTCCATGACGCAGCCAATATCTAACATCTCCCATTTGCATGTGGTGGGTATGACAATATCATCTATCTCAATCTATTATATACATCAATATCAATTCATAAAGGCTAATGGACCGTGCGGTTGCTAAGCACACATGCAATTTGGGCGCTCTACACTAGAAACTCTACAGAGCCAACATATAGACATCAACCCTAAAAAAATGAAAATGGTGTCTCAAGTATTATAGACCCATTCGGATACATTGGTTCAAAAATCTCTAATCCCTCACAATATAAAACCATGCATAATCCCTAAAATTTTTGCCTATACATTCACTTTGTCACTATCTAAACTAGCGCCCAAAGTTGTCGACAATGAATATATCGTGGGACGTTTCAAATGGTATTCCTTTTGCCTTCATGTCACTTAGTTAAAAAATAACCGCTTTCCCAGCAAAGTCCTAGAAGGCTGAATCTCTCATGGGCGTAAGTAACATGCCAAAATAGCTGAGCATTAATTCTTTCACTTTATGACATAATCAAAAGTCAGAGAGTACATAGAATGTTTGGTTAAACAAAATAACCTGGTCATGTAAAAATGACTCGAAGGGCTCACACAGTGAGGAAGTAGGGCTCCATTCATTCACTTCCTTAATTATCACCAAGCACAAGTAGTATGAAATACATGCTACGATAGATCTATGTGTTTAGTTCTTCCATGATACTTAAGATCCTTCGCATAAGCTAATGCTGCCATGCTATCACAATGAATCGTCACTAGGCTCAATGTATTTGTGACAACTCCTAGATGTTGAAAGAACTTTTTTAACCAAACAACTTCTTGTACAACAATAGAACAAATAACGTATACTACTCCATGTAATGGCCCCACCATTAAGTAAGAAAACATATCTTGATGTGGACTTGTGTTCATCTATATAACCACCTTAATCCACATCACTATAACCAACCATCTGTACATCTAAAGACTAGTAGCATAAAATATAATCTAAAGTCTCATTGAAATATCATAGTATCATTTTCATTTTCTTTCAATGAGCTAACCTAAGATTTGACTGAAAACAACTAACCAAGCCAACCACAAAGTAAATATCGGGATGAGTACACATCATAACGTACATTAAGCTACATTCAACACTAGCATAGGGAACACAAATCCATCCTCTCATTTTTGTCCAGAGTCTTAGGGCACATTCTTAGGCTTAGGCTCTCGTCTTTTGCTACAGAAGTGTCTATGGATTTTTTGCATCTGGAATCGTTCAAGAACCTTTTTAATGTAAGTCTCTTGAAACAAATCAAGAAGTTTCTTAGAATGATCCCTTAGGATCTTAACTTCGAGCACATAACTTGCTTCACCCAAGTCCTTCATCTCAAATGTTGAGGACAACCACTTTTGAGTAGTGATAATCATCTCTTTATTATTTCTAGTCAATAAAATATCGTCAACATACAAAGATAGAATTAAGAAGCTATCTTTAGACCATTTAACATACAGTTTTTATCGATCATTGTAAACTTATTAGAAGTGATAGCTCAATGAAGCCTTAGATACCATTGTCTGGATGACTGTTTCAGGCCATAAATGGATTGTTGAAGTTTACAAACTTTGTTCTCCTGACCCACCACCACAAAACTTTCAGGTTGATCCATATAGATTTCCTCATTCAATTCTCCATTAAGAAATGCATTGTTAATATTCATTTGATATAGTTCTAAATCCATATGTGCGACAATAACTATAATCATACGAATCGAGACAAACCTTACAATTGGAGAAAATGTTTCCTCGTAGTCTACATCATCTCTTTGGGTGTAACCTTTTGCCACTAGCCAAGTCTTATACCTTTATATGGACCCATTGGTTTTGCGCTTAATTTTGAGAACTTATTTGTTCCCAATGACCTTACGCCCAGGCGAAAGGTCAACCAAGTCTTAGACTTGATTGACCTTCATTGACTCCATCTCGTTATTCATTGCAGTTATCTACTCTTACTAGCAAGTGATGATAGAGTCTATTTAATATTTTTAAGTTCAACATCGTCATGTGGAACAACCACGAAAGCTTTCCCTTCAATATTTAACAGATATATATTTTGGATGAATGATACCTTTTAGTAAATGATACCTCTTGGTAAATGATATCTCCAAAAGACATGTCATTTTGGACATTTTTTATTTTGAGTCAACCCATCATGGCGCACCATAGTTTGGATCCATGACCCAACCAATATCTATCAATAACATATTAGCTACATAATCACAATCACTTTCTCTTTCAACCAATTTCACTATTTTTCTAATTATTCACTCAATCAAAATGGTAAAACAATTTAATGAAAAGACCATTTGATTGTACAATTATTTTTATAATATTAAATTGTGAGATGAGATTTAAAAATATGCTAATTAAATATTTTACTAGTTAGAAATGCTTGAGTCATAATCAAATTACATTCACATTAAATAAAGAATAATATTATATTTACTAAAAAAATTACCAAATCAATATCAATGGTTTGATCAATTAATCATGCTAAATTTTTCTGATTGAACCGACTGATCTGATTATTCACATCCATTTGATAATTTTTTAGTAAATTTTTTTAATAAGCATAGTATTTTTCTTAAATAAAAGGAAATGCATATTGCCAAAGGGGTAATTCAGTCATCGGAAATTTCGGTGGTCACGTGCATATCCCTCTCCCGTGTGGTTGAGAGGTGTGATCCCCAATGCTAGGCCTCAGCAAGAACTGCATGGTACCCAATCCCAGTCTTCCCCATCTTTATCCNGGAAATTTCGGTGGTCACGTGCATATCCCTCTCCCGTGTGGTTGAGAGGTGTGATCCCCAACGCTAGGCCTCAGCAAGAACTGCATGGTACCCAATCCCAGTCTTCCCCATCTTTATCCCTCTTCGTTTCTCCATCTTTATGCTTCGACATTCCACCACCTCTCTCAACAGACCTCCGTCAACCACTATCCTCTTCGCCGCGATTGTAACCCACAGGGCCACAACCACCACCCAGTCCCACCCCCAACATATTGATACAATAACAGAAGCTCTGAAACCCTAACAATATTTGAGGAGAAAGAGAGAGAGAAAAGGATGGACTTTCAGGAGCCCCACCGGTACATGAGAGCACCTCCACTTCCACCGCCATCCATGGCGGATCCCCACCACCACCAGCAACTACCACCTCCCAGACAACCAGTTCCTCCACCAGGCCCCTGGTATTCCGCTCAATTTCAGTACCAACACCACCCATCTCAGCAGTCTCCCTCACCACCTCCACCGCCTCACCAGCAGTGGCCTCCACCTCCCCACTCCGATCATCATCCTCCTTATCCTGCACCACCTCCTTATCCTACGCACCACCTTCTCAACCATAGTCAGTTCCCCCCTCCTCTTCCTCTTCCTCTTCCCCCTCGACCTCAGATGCCTCCTCCTCCACCTAGTTATCCTCCCCAATCTTATACTCAGGTCAACCAGGTATTTTTACTACTCATTCAATCTCTCTGTTATGTGGGTTTAGGTTAAAATTTTCTTTTCTTTTCTCAGTCGTTTAGGTTTAACTTCTTATTTCTCTTTGCATGATGCTATTCGTGTTCAGGAAAATACTCGTTTCGTGTGGAAAAGAGTATATATTCACATGTGTTAAATCTAGGGTTTTTTAAAACTGTAGCTGTATTCTCCAATTTGATATGCCGATATATTTTCTAAGTACAATTGAATTTCGTGCCTTTTTGGGTGAGTTGTAATATTTTTGCTTCGTCATTTTTTTGGAAACCCTTATTTGTTAAAGCATGTCCAATCTTAACTCAAAATTTTATTGAAATTTGAATAATTTTGTTTAAAATTGAGTTAACATTCGAGTGAAAAGCTTGATTTGATACAAAGGCTCTAATGGACAAACTAAAATTTAAAAGAGGGCAAACTCAACTTTAAAGTGAGGTGAAATATGACCATTGGATTGTTAAAGGAGAATGGAATTTAACAATTGGTGATTTAAGGAAATGTTTGAGTCTCATTTGATTTTAGTAAAAAAAATTTGAGTCTCCCTTGATTTGGTATGGGTTTTGATATAGTATTGGAGAAGATTTTTGGGCTATTTTTACTCAAATTGAAGTGTTGGTCTAAAAAAAGGTAAGAGTTGGACCTAATACTCTAATATCCTTGTAGTGTGATATGGGTGGCAATCACTTAATATATGATCAATCATTGATTCATAAATTGCTGTAGGACTTGGCAAAACCGAACTGGGGTCATCATCAAGGTTGGGCTTATCCAGGTATGTGTATTTGAGTATCTCTGAATTTATTTTCTGAAATCCAAAGCTTAATGTTTCTAGTTTTTTTTTTTTTTGTAGCTTGGTATGATAAATTTTGTTCTCATGTTTTGCTGCGTGATTTATACATGCTGCTTTATATGAAGCCTTTCGACAGACCAGTCTCATTATTCCTGGTTTGGAACCCTGAAACCCAAATGAATTGACAAACACAATGTTCTAGTTTTGATTTTCATGTTTTGATTTATTTCGATGTAAATTGCATAGCAAATTCTGTTGCTTTTATGTTTTTGCATGTCTGATGGTTTTTTGTAACTTTCTTGAACATTAGTCATTATGAATTGACTGTTGTATGGTCATTGTCATTCATCTGAAGATCATGTTTATCCCTCCTCTTTGTTCCCCCTCCCTCTTTTCCTTACATCTTCCTTAAAAGGGCAAACCAAACATACCATTGGGCCATACGCTCCTGGCAAAGAATCAATTTTTATGAGGGTGATTGAGCAATGACTTATTAAGGACCATTGACTTTCATTGTCGACACGTTTTTGACAATAGCTTCTTCCTGCATGAGCTTTTATTCCCTGCATGAGCTTTTATTCCCCCAATTTGGGAGTTTCTGTTTCCTTTCCTTAAATTTACACATTAAGAAGTATTCGCAAGCCTGAGTATGGCTTCATATTATGCTCTACTAAATATTCCGNTTTTTTGACAATAGCTTCTTCCTGCATGAGCTTTTATTCCCCCAATTTGGGAGTTTCTGTTTCCTTTCCTTAAATTTACACAGTAAGAAGTATTCGCAAGCCTGAGTATGGCTTCATATTATGCTCTACTAAATATTCCGTGGTTTATTCAATGGAAGCTCATAACAATGAAGAAGATTGGGCTGCCAAGGCCAGAGCATGGGCATCTGCTAAAGATGCAACTGATAACCAGCATCAGCTGTCACAGGTTACACCAGCTGGCAGACCAGAAGAACCGAGTCATTACTATGATCAATATCCGCAAATTGTTAATCCTCATTATCCAGATATTCAGCAATCATCACTTTCTTCATTGAGCTATCAAGACTATCCAGCTTCAGCTCCACCTCCACACAGCTCAGCCATAGGTCATCTGCAGGAGTCTATATCCTTTAGCTCTGGACAATCTCTTTATGTTCGAGATGGGCATTTACCTTACACTACTAGAGAAGGAACTGTGGCTGGAGATTCAAATGCTGTATTTCCTCATCAACAAAGTTCAGCCGCAATTCCTTTGGTTCATCAGCAGGAGGTACCTTGTAGTTATTCTTCTGCTGCAGGTAATAATTAAAATTGCATTCTGATTTTGCATGTGAAGCTGTTGTTCAACAAGTGCATCCTTAGAACTGGCTTTTCCACTTAGTTTGATTTATTAATTGTTTCTTACAGTATTTATGGGTCCTTGTGATCCTGTTGAGTTTGATGTATCATTGAGCCATTCTTGAGATTCAATTTGTTTTGTTTATGAGCTTTAACCTTTAAGTTTTAGGCATACAGTTGTCCAACATAATCATGTTGCAAGCAACTAAAGGGACAAACACCTTTTGTTCATGGATTGTGAATCAATTAAGGAATCACTTTACAACAAACAAGCAAAAATTACATTTACTACTGAGATTGGATGTTTAAACAAAAGAGAAATGTGTAGGTTTGTAACCTAATGATTTTTCTTTTCTTTTCCCATATGCTTCATAATTGAGATACTTAATATATTTGAAATGATGAAAAAGACAGTCAAAATATTATTCGTCATAACCTCATCCAAGTTTGTGCAGAAACCGAGCTTTTTACTGCTTATGATCACCTTATTGAAAGTGCCAAATAGTTTTAGTTTCTGATATTTTACTCGAATGACAGGTAAAGAAGAGGCTGAAAATCAAAATGAGAAGTTCTATAAGTCGGTGTCTTTGTCCATTGCTTCAACTCCACAGCACCAACCATCACTGCCTACTGTTGGCAGATCAGTTTTGATGGACCAGCCCCATTATGCTTATGGCAAACCGTCAGCCGATCACACAACTGATCTTAGTGATATGCCTTTAGACTTTGCACCTAGATATAGTCATGACTACGATCGACATGCGCAATCAGTGGGGGGCATGGACCCTGTTGCAGTTATGCCTTCTATTCATGCTTGGACTCCAACTGCACCAGGGGGAGTTTATCCTCCAATCCCTGCAGTACTTCCATCAGGGTCACAGGTACGGGTTTCCAAATGTAATATGCTTACAATCTGAGAACCTTGATATGAACGTTGTATGGCTTATTTCATTCTTGTCAGGTGGATCCTTCTGTGCCTATATCTTCTCCACTCCCTGGACATTCTGTGCCAATATTTGGAGGGATGCCTGGGCTAGGCTTCCAGACAGGGATTCCATCAGTTGGAGCATCCTTTGCGACTGGTACAGGAACTGCACTTCATCCAGGAACAGCTTTTCCTGTGGATGGATACGGGGCTTCCAGTGTTTCTGAACGCCCCAAAAAGGTATCTGTTGCTTTATACTTGAGCTTTGATGCATAAATAAAATGGTTACATGACATATTGCTTATTCTGTATTGTGGCGAATGTTCAGGCCTCGGTACCTAACTGGCTTAGGGAGGAAATAATTAAGAAGAAAGCTGTCATTGCAAGTTCTGCTCCCATGCCTCCTGAAGAGGATACTCAATTCATTGAAGATGGAAATGTTGATAAATCTCATAGTAAAATTGATCAGGCAGATAGCAAAAGTGTTGATTCTTCTAGGTCAACCGAAGAAGATGAAGATGATGAGGTTTCTCCTTGATGTTGATTTCGTTCCATCTACTTTTATCAACCCAACCCCCCACGCCCCCCACACTCCCACACCCCAAAAACCACAAAAAAAATGATATTCAAAAGGTTTTTTTTTTTGGATTGACATTGATATCTGCATATACATCTGTTTACTTTGTAAATTGAAGTGCTCTTTATTTGTTATATGGAGGATGACGTTGAAGCTGCTAAAACTGCAGCAATAAACCAGGAAATAAAGCGGGTCCTGACTGAAGTTCTTTTGAAGGTGCAGCTAGTTTGAAACTAATGATTCTCTTATTATTACATTTTTGTGTAGGTGATATGAATTGATGTTCTTGTACAGGTTACTGATGAACTTTTTGATGAAATTGCAACAAAAGTTCTGAGTGAAGATGATCTTACTATCCAAGGTAGCTCTTCTCTGAGATTTGGGTAATTTATAAAATTTATCTTTCACTGTTGTGACGAACTGTTGGACTTTGTGAATGACTTTCTGCCTCACAACCTGTAATATTACATGGTGTTGTCACTTTTGGCATTTAGTTGACCACAATATTGCCGCCACAAATCATAAAGCAGCACCATCTACCGCTGCAATTCCAACTCCTAAGGCTTCTGCAAAGGCTGTCATTCCAGCCAAAACCAAGGAAGCTGATTCTGATGATGTAAGTGGAAAATCTACTTCCAGTTCTCCTGGAGATGTGCTGGGTCTTGGTAATTATGCCTCTGATGAGGATGGGGATGCTGAAATCCAGAGTTCAAGTGTGGCGAGTTCTAAGGAAAATACTGTCCACCAGCAACCAATTATGAGAAATCTTGCTGAAGGTATGGATGCGGCTGATATTGACCCTTCACGACTAAAAAGTGAAGATCACAGTAAAATGCATGCCAATGTGGAGAGTGAACCTGGAAAAATGAATTCAAATGGAGCTGCAGTGAATCATAGTGTTCTAGTTAGCAAGTTGAGTGATGATAGGGCAGACAGAGAGCCAGCCCATGGCGATGCTAGATCTAGATTATCATCTAAAACAGATGCTGGAGTTGTGGATGTTGAGACTAATATTGATGGTGATAAAGTGCTAGATGGCTCTGATACTTCTGCATCAAAGAATGGTGTAGGGGAAATGGCTGATGTGAAAGCTGAACTGCCAGTAGAAAGTTTTTATGCCAAAAAGTTAACAGAAGACTCTCAAGGTAGAGAAATCAGAAATAAAGCAGAGAACAATGATAGACGAGAAACTAGGAGGAGTTCTTCTGGTATGGACAGAACAAATGAAAAGGGAGATAAGAATAGTAGGANTTGACCCTTCACGACTAAAAAGTGAAGATCACAGTAAAATGCATGCCAATGTGGAGAGTGAACCAGGAAAAATGAATTCAAATGGAGCTGCAGTGAATCATAGTGTTCTAGTTAGCAAGTTGAGTGATGATAGAGCAGACAGAGAGCCAGCCCATGGCGATGCTAGATCTAGATTATCATCTAAAACAGATGCTGGAGTTGTGGATGTTGAGACTAATATTGATGGTGATAAAGTGCTAGATGGCTCTGATACTTCTGCATCAAAGAATGGTGTAGGGGAAATGGCTGATGTGAAAGCTGAACTGCCAGTAGAAAGTTTTTATGCCAAAAAGTTAACAGAAGACTCTCAAGGTAGAGAAATCAGAAATAAAGCAGAGAACAATGATAGACGAGAAACTAGGAGGAGTTCTTCTGGTATGGACAGAACAAATGAAAAGGGAGATAAGAATAGTAGGAGGCATGATGAGATGTATGCAAAAAAGGAAAGGACGGATGATCAAAATGGTTCAAAAGAGAGAATGAAAGATGAAGGTCATAGGTCTGGGGAAAAAGCAAAGGGTTCAGACTCAAGAAAAAGCTCCACTCGTCTTAGTGTTAAGGATGACAGAAAGGAGACAGAGAGAGCCAGAAGGACCAGCACTAAAAATGATGATGACAGAAAAAGCAGGAGAACCAATAATGAGAAAGGAGAAAGATCTAGACGTACACCAAGTGATTCTAGCAGACACAAGAGGCATCGTTCCTGTTCAGTCAGCAGCAAGGGCAGAAACAGCAAGGACAACTCGGTGGTAAGCCACGCATATGATTCAACTGATTTATCCTCTGATGATTCTAAAAGGTTAGTTATTTCATATTTCTTGTCTCTGCTTCTTTTGTTCGCATTCTGTCATGCAGCTCTTCAAGTTCACTTTTGTGCTACAGGAAGCTGCACTCAAAAAGACGGAATTTGTCACCATCATCTGTAAGGTCTAAAAGAAGGTACTTATTTTTGCTGAATAATCTTTTGATTCTCCATGATATTATTGCCCAACCTCTCTGGGGGTGTCTGGCCTTTTCTTCCACAATTCCACTAAATGGGGCATGTTATATATAGATATTTAAACAGAAGGTTGATAGCATTATTTTTTCTCATTTTAGATCTTGGAAAAGTCCGCCAGCATAGAATGAAATTGAGACGACAATCTAATGACCCATATTTTGTAAGAATAGGTAATTTCTAGAATTCAGAGTGTTAAAAAAAGAAAATAGCTTAGATATGGGATAGCAGCACCATGTTAACTCGGGTGTTTAGCAAAGTAAATAAAAATTGTGCAGTCAGAAACTGAACAGGAAATTTGGACCCCAACCACCCCCACCCCCACCTCCAATGTTCCCAACACCTTTACAGAAGTCTGTCAGACAGTGTGTGCTCAACAGCTGCTTACCCTTCTTTTGGGATAAGCAAAGAAAATTAACGACACCGGCATTCTTTTTATTTGAGATCCTTTTTAACTCTCATTGGATGATTTCTGAAAAAATCAACCATTGGAAGATGTTGAAACTTTCTTTGAGCTGGACATTTACTACAGCCCTTTTTATGGGTTTTAAATTCTATATATCTTTTGTAATGGTTATCATTTCCTGTTAAATTTCTGGCCAGTTTGTAATTACTTTCTTACAGCTCTATAAGATGAGTTTTCTATTGTGTCATATAATAGGAGGGCATTTTTCCCTTTGTTATTTATTCATTTATTTATTTTCAGTCCCTATAGAAAAGAGTGGAGAAATAGATAGGATATTTGTTAAGCTATATGAACAGCTGATATACCTTGGGACTGTCATAGGTTTTGTAATTTAATTGCTTGTGTTTGATACTCAGTCAAGTGCTATTTTTGTTATGATTTATCAATGAGTAAGCTTGCTCTTGCAGATGCCACAATTAGTGCGACACTGGAAACAGAACATAACAACGAATGCAATAATAGTTTTTCGTGCCTCTGTATTGTTCTATACATTATCTAAGGTCTTGAGAGGCTTATCTTTTGGTGCCTTTCTTTGCATTTTGTTACTGAAGTACCTTAAGAGTGCAACAGTGCATCTGGGGATGCTTGGAATCGCCTATGTGATGGTTATGCCTATTAGCTTTTTGTGGATATTTAGTTGTTGGTTCTAGTACAAGTCACCAACATCAAGTATCTTATAGCACTAGTAATTGTTGAGTATGGCTTTTGATCCTTCGCTTCCTTGTGATAAATTTATCGGTGGTTCATGGTTGTCATATGCTCAAGGAAGGAAATATATGCGTCATGCTTGCTCAGACTTTTGGATATGGTTNATTTGATCCTTCGCTTCCTTGTGATAAATTTATCGGTGGTTCATGGTTGTTATATGCTCAAGGAAGGAAATATATGCGTCATGCTTGCTCAGACTTTTGGATATGGTTGGCTAGGAGACAACTTGCATATATATGAGCATTTTGAATATTTACTAAATGGGCTGTGTGCTTTGCTAGAGCTTCCACGGAATTTTGGCGGGAATAGCAAGCTGTAGATTTATTTATTTATCGTCTCTGTTTTGGCTTCTAGCTGACTGAATTGTGAATCATATTTATTATTAATGGCTATAATATTTTTTAGGGCCAAGGTTTGTAATGCAGGTGTAATAAATTAATTGCTTTTTATTCTAAGAATTCCATAGTTTGAGCTCCAGGACGCTGTGGTCCCTCTTATTCAGAAAACAACACGATTTTTTTTTCAAAGAAATCTGTTGCTAGATTCTGGATGAACGGAATTATGTGATTTCCCTCCTCAGACGCGCATGATGAACACCTGAATGCCTTTGTATGTGATGCCTTCAGATTAGCACCAGCCAATTCATTGTGGGAGTTTAATAGGTGAAGCAGTTTTGGCACTTTTTTTATTATTTTTGTGCTAAAAGGAATTTAATGTTGTAATATTAAAAAATTTGGGTTAGTTGTGTAATTTTTTCTTACCTCCAAACTCTTGGGACCTGATTACAGAAGTTCTCCTTTGAGAAAATTGTTGTGGACACAGTTGATCTATATTGTTTGCAAGAACCATTTAATAACAGTGGGCTTCTGCCAACGGATGGATCTATTTTGACCAACCACTGATTTGTTCAAAGACTTGCTACATATTACACTCTAATTGTTATTCATTTTGTGTATTTTTCCCCTTGGAAAGTTGCAGCTCTGCTAAGTGTTCCAGTGTACCATGCTTGCAATAGACAAAGCTTTACTACAAAATGACATCGATATCCTTCTTGTAAATATCATCCTGAGTATGAAATTTAGTTTCTTAGGAGTGGCCTCTGAAGTGTGTTGTGATGATATATGTGCTGTTCAATAATATGAATGCAATTTTATCTCATCAGAAGCAGAATAGTTTATGCCAAACAGGTCATTTCTTATAAAGTCTTACTATACAAGGCTAGGCGTTCGTCTCCCAAATATGTACTTTAAACTCACTGGCTTAGTATGGAATGTTTTTATTTCTAGACAAGTTTTGCGGTCCCCACATAGCAAGCATTCTCAGCGCAGGCATTCTCCCTACCCTTCTATTGAGAACAGCAGGTATGTTGCTTTGCATTCTATATGTTTAAGATTGTGTGAATGTTTTTGAGACATAGTCTCCATTTTCGTTCCAATAAGGAACCCAGGTGGAAGCATGATGAGGTCTTAGGATTTGCATTTGAATGTTTTCTAGTCTATGAACTGCTTCAATCTGATTGCAGGGGAAGGAGGTCAAGGTCCAGATCACCTGTTCGTAGGCAAAGATGACAGGAGATTCTGGTTTGCGGTAAAGAAACAAGCGTAGAAGCGTGCAGGAATTTACTGATTGGAAAAGGGGATCGCGAAGTTTATTGTGATGCAGGCTTGAATGGGACATGGGAGGTGTATGACTGATTTGTAAAGAACATGCGCAATGGTTTCCCAGATGAACTTAGAGTCTAATATATCAGGCTTTGCACATTTCTTCCGTGTCAACTGTATCTGCAGTTCAGATATTTAGAGTGGAGCTGGATTTGTATTTGATTATCAGTTTTCCTTCAATCCCCCTCTCCTCCCTCCAATTTAGTGTGGCACATTGGCCGTCATAGGCAAACACAACCATTTGTGTCTAACTACGATATGTGAAGAAGGGCTAGTCACATGTGCAGTGTGGCCTGAAAAGGGTAGCAAGAAATATTTCTTGGTATCTATCTATAAGGTTTTATGGAATGCTAATATGGCCCAAGTATGTTGGTGGATGTTGAGAATGCGGTGGCCGAAAAATCTAAGTTTAGAACTTAGGTTTGATGCTACTGTGCAAGGAAGATTGCTGCCAGGAAGCTGGGATGAATGAATATGCCTCCAATTGAATTCCGTCCATTCCATCTCAATGTCATGTTTGGATATAGGTTTGAAACTTTGGATGAGTTCTATCTGAGCCTAGTCTCCTATTATTCCATCTAACCTTGAAAGTTTTGTAGAATCTCCAACTAATTTAATCCAAATATTCTCTCTAGTACTTGAACCACACAACAGGGTTTGCATTTGATTCCAAAGGTATGGTATCCAACCTACCTACACTTACTGTTAAACCGATATTGGATAGAATAATGCTATTTGCATTAAGTTTTCGTGTTGTGAATTGACAATGAAGGAGTTGAAAAAGGAAGAAAAGACCCNCTACACTTACTGTTAAACCGATATTGGATAGAATAATGCTATTTGCTTTAAGTTTTCGTGTTGTGAATTGACAATGAAGGAGTTGAAAAAGGAAGAAAAGACCCGTTATTTGGTAAATATAATTAACACGTGATATTATTAATTAATAATAAAATATTAAATAAGATTGATGAATTTTATTATTTTAACACAATAGTTAATTTTTTATTGGTATTTTTTTTTTGAGTTCAATGATTAGGATTAAAAATAAATTATTTACGCCGAAATAAAAGTATTTATAATTGAAAAGTGCGTTGCCTTTTGTATCAAACAATTATTTTTGTTGTTGATAAAAAAAAAAAAACAATTATTTTTGTTCGCTGGCGCCTGCATGACGCCACGCACCTCACGTGTACCATCCCCCTTGTCCCACATCCTTCGCGGCGGCGGCGGCGTTGGTGGTGGTGGGTTTTCCACTTACAGTCTTCTCTCTCTCTCTCTCTCTTCGTACCCGATTCCCAAAATCAAATCAAACCACATTCCATTTCAGTCTTCTCCTCTGCAACTGCAAAACAATAACAATGGCAGCAACAATGAAAGTGTATTCTATTTTCTCTCCTCTTTACTACAGCAAAAAGGTCAGATTTATTAAACCCTTGATTACATATTCAGTCTTATGCATGTATGTTTTCTATGTAGACCTTGTTCTTGAGCTAGGATTTTTCATTTACAGGGCTTTCAAATTGGGCTGTGGTTAGTTTGGCTATGTGGGTTTATCTTGATTGTTATCTCCTTCTGTGCTACTCAGTTATTGTCTTCTGCCCTTAAAGATCAGATCATAAAAATGCCCAAACTTTTCGACAATGGCTCTGGCAATTGGGGCGGTCCCACAATTACTATATTTTCAGCTCCAAGCCCTTTTACCGGTTCAGTTGGGGCAAGGCAGGCTGTAGCTGTGAGATCATGGCTTGGTTTATCTCCAGATATTACTATTGTTCTGTTTAGCCAAGACCCCTCTGTTTTCTCTTTTGCAGGAGAATTTGGTTCTCGGGTTTCTGTTGAAGCCAATATCGATTTTACGTAAGCCTCTTCAGCGTATTTTTTCAATTTCTTAGCAAACCATCTTCCATCTATTTCGATAATTAGGATCATTACATGATTTGACATATTATAGTGGGACTTTCGTGTTTTTTTCTCTGTTTTTCTGTACTTTTTTAGTTCAAAAATTAAATTATGATCAGCACTTGATAGTTGCAAAAGCCAAAGGAAAATTCTTTGCGAACTGTAGTTACTAGATGTGGAATCGAGAATGTGTAAAAGAAAAATTAACTTGCAAAACTACCACGCACTGTGATGACTTGTTCCCAAAGTTTTAATTTGTCTTCTTAGATTTGAAAATCCAAATGCTATATTCTGAAAATAAGAGCTAGGTTATGCAGTTAACTTATAGTAAATAGCTGGCTATGTATGCAAATGAGAAAAGTTCTTCATGCTGAGAAAAGTCCTAAATAAGTAAAGGACTAATGAATGTTCCTTATTATGATCAGGCTGAATTGACACCCAAGAAATATTCAGTGAGACTAATAAGTTTATAAATTGATAAGCGGGGTGAAGATGATCGTAACTTGGACTATTTGTAGTATTAAATGATAATATACAGGAGACATGTAAGAAAGTCAAGAACGAAAAGAAAATTTAGAACGAGACAAAAAATAGAGAGTGATTAACAAATTTGAATAAGTGCCATATACTATTCGCATTACTTAAGAACTGGAAAGCGACTGCATGAGGTGGGTGTTATGCAAGTATTGCAATGACCATTGAGTTGAAATAAATGCGGTAAATAAAGCATGACCATTGTGATATTGGACTTTGCCCAACTCTTATGTTCTAGAAAGCAGTTGTGATCTTCAAAACTATTGGTGTCGAAAAAGAAACAAAAAACCTTAATATATAGAGTTAGACTTCACGACATTTGTTGTCTTGAAAATATGGATTTGACAGAGAAATTATGGTTAAATGTGACTGTATGGTTGCTGGTTTCATTAACATGCTCTCATAAACATGTAAATTGACTTTGCTAAATTTCTGTCTCTTCTGTGTCTTCTTCTGTTTAGGTTCCTGAATACCCCCTTCTTTCATTCAATGGTTGCCAGAGCACAAGCTTGCACCTCAGATATATCTGTTCTGATTGATCCAGAAACCATTGTTTTGCCGGAGGTCATTTCCATTTTGAATCATGCTTACAAACTTGATCATGACTGGCTCCTCGTTTCTTCATCACGTTATGTTTCCAACTTCCCATTTCACTTGGATGCAGATGGGAAACAGTGGCAGGCAGATGACGGTGCAACGATCAGAAACATAGAGGTATGAAGGAACCAAATATAGAGTTTTGATTGGACAGGCAATGGGACAACTTGCACTAAAACTATACTCTCTTCCATCAGTTGCAGGACATACTTGCTCAAACTTGGCAGTGGAAACGTTGTGAACCGAGGATGCTTATGGCATGGAACAATGGTGATCATCCTTTACATACTGGAGTCCTGCCTCCTTTTTTGTACGGAAAGGGGCTCCACAACCACTGGATCATCCATGAGGCCTTGTCATCTGACTTTAGGTTTATATTTGATGCCAGTTGGACAGTCTCAAATTTTTATCTGGATAATCTTGACCATAGTTCTAATCAATCCATCGGAGGTTCAAGTGGTTCCGATGTTGCAAAGAGAGGTTGGGAGAATGTTGTAAACTCCAATCTGGGGGTGCTTTATGGATCCTTATATTTTCATGAAGCTAATCATTCTAAGTTGGTTAGGTTTCTCAAGTGTGATGGGCACTATCTATTTGCTAATACAGCAGAAAACATTGTGCATCCATGGGGATACCAGGGATCATTGAGCTTAAGGAAGAATAGAATCTCCAGGTCCGGGGAGAAGAAAATTTTAGATTGTATTGATTCTATTAAATCATTTGACGGAATGAAAGACTGCTCTGTGAAAGATCACTTGAGGCTGTCAACATCATTTTCTCTTCCATTTTCCCTAGAATCTCTTCTTTCTCTATGTGCAGATAAGAATAAGACAATTGTGCTAGCGATTGCTGGATATAGTTATAAAGACATGCTAATGAGTTGGGTTTGCAGACTTCGCCACCTCCTGATATCTAATTTTTTGGTCTGTGCTCTCGACCAAGAAGTTTATGATTTCTCGGTTTTGCAGGTAATTTGATGTTTCAATGCTATTTTTACTTACCTTTGCATCATTTCATTGGTGAACTCATTCAACTCTATCTCTCAATCTAAATGATATTTTTGGTAGGGCCTGCCCGTTTTCAAGGATTCATTTGCTCCAACTAACATCAGCTTTGACGATTGCCATTTCGGAACAAACTGCTTTCAGAGGGTAACCAAGGTGAAGTCCAGAGTGGTTCTGCAGATATTGAAACTGGGTTACAGTGTACTTCTTAGTGATGTTGATGTGTATTGGTTTAGAGATCCATTACCATTTGTTAAATCTTTTGGTCCTGCTGTTCTCGTGGCACAGTCTGATGAATACAACTTAACAGGTCTTTATTCCTAGCATCCTGTGTTTATAAACTTTATTTTCCAGTGGAATTCACTATAGCTATTAATAATGCCTGCTATACTTATAAGACAAAATTTTTAAGAAATCATCCACTTCCTTGCTATGTGATTGTGTGGAGCTAATTTTTTCTTTGGTGGGACTCTTGTACGTCTTTTCTACAGGACCCATAAATCTACCTCGACGTTTAAACTCTGGCTTCTACTATGCTCATTCGGATGGTTCTACAATTGCCGCATTGGAAAAGGTAGTCAAGCACGCAGCTATGTCCAATCTTTCTGAGCAGCCGAGCTTCTACGACTCGTTGTGTGGAGAAGGTGGGTCCAATCGTGTGAGTGATAACAGATGCTTGGAACCAGAAACAAACATGACCATTCATTTCTTGGATAGAAACCTCTTCCCTAATGGTGCATACCAAGGTCTGTGGGAAGAAAAAGATGTGCAAGCAACATGTGTGAAGAAGGGCTGTTTCATTCTCCACAACAACTGGATCAGTGGGAGGAGGAAGAAGCTGGAACGTCAGGTTTTGTCAGGCTTATGGGATTATGATCTTAGCACAAGGATGTGTTTACAGAACTGGCACCAGACCAAATTCACAAATTATTTCTAGCTTGATTGATGCTTACTTACATTTTTCTTCATGGGTAACACTGGCTTTGATGCGGAGGGGAAGAATACAATGAGATCTGGTTCCTTAGCTGATAAAATTTGTCCTCAGCCTTGGATTTATCACTGGCATTATATGGCAAAATGCCAAAATTTGTGAGAGCCGGCTTTGCAAAAAAAGGATGATTGACTGGGGCAATGCTTTTGAAATACCTCAATGAATTACCACAGTCCCCGTATCATTGGATTATAACGCTAACAACGAGCTTTTGGTTGCGGGCAATGCTGAGATGTGCTCATTTCCTGGGTCTAGTGCAGTCCATGGACAGGGAATCCCGAAGAAAGAAAGAGTTGGAACAGGATTCCATTCCATTTGACTTGAGTGTACAATTGAAGGATATTGCTATGAGGATAATTCATGCAGGTGGGAGAGAAGAGCATATCAAAGTGTAATTTCTGCATCTCAATTACTGGAGAAATATCCTGGGATGTGTATTGCCAGGCCTGAGGTCTTTAAAAATCCCCATGAATCTATTTTATTGGGAGAAGAAAAGTTGTTGCCTGGCCAAAAGTATTACGTAATCCCATCTACCACTGCACAGAAATTGAAGCGTAGACACTTGATCAAGGGAAAAGTAAAAGACCCTGTTGTAGCAAAAGATGCAAATTTAGATCTGAAAGAAGGTGCAGATATAGGTGAAGATTTTTCAGAGGAATCTGTTTGTTCTGCAAAGGACTTCTATGTCTCCGAGGAAAGGTGGTCTAGATGTTCACGGAACAAATATCGAAAAGGACAAAAGCAATTTGTACCCCCTATCCAAAAGCCAAGAATTTCGAGGGCATTAAATTGGCAGCCCAGTTTGACTTCTGTACCTGAGCTGTCTCCATGAATTTCTCCATTACTTGATGCTTGATGGTTCTTATTACTACCAAGTATGATCATCGGGCGTGTAGATCCTCCTCTGCAGTTTGTTTGCCACAAAAGGAACACAAGGTAAATATGCAGTAATACATTTTCATGGTACTCTCTGGTGTTCTGCTATTCATCATGTCAGTTTCTTTGACTATCCTGACATTTTTCCCGGAATCCCAGCCTTATCGTCTTATTAGTTGGATATGCTTGACAATCACTTTTGGTTGGGGGTTAACTGCAAGCGAGGGGATGGGGGTGCAGAATTTATGTTTTACCAAATAGCAAGAGGAAGTTATTTCGTTCATTTTGTATGCTGTTAAGTTTAGAGGATTAACACAATATTAGAGAGAAACAGAGATAGGTTAAAAACTTAACCTAGCTCTCATACATCACTTGTATTTATAGTTAACTCACAANTTAACCTAGCTCTCATACATCACTAGTATTTATAGTTAACTCACAATAATAAAAATTACACATAATACCCTAACACTATTAATAATTTACACATACTACCCTAATACTCTTAACACTCTCCCTCAAGTTGGACTATATATATCATATAATCCAAGCTTGAAACAAATAGCTGTAAGACATGTACGACTCAATGCTTTGGTAAACATATCTGCAAGCTGATCTTTAGATTTCACAAATAGAGTCGTAATCTCCCCAGCTACTATCTTGTCCCGAATAAAGTGACAATCAACCTCAATATGCTTGGTTCTCTCGTGAAACACAGGATTGACAGCGATATGGATAGCTGCCTGATTGTCACAGAACAACTGTAAAGGAAGTTGAATTGGAAACCCAATTTTTCGGAGAAAGTGTAGTAGTCAAGTCAACTCATTCGTCGTATGTGTCATTGCCCTATACTCAACTTCAGCACTGGATCTTTACCACGAGTTGTTTCNAGAAAGTGTAGTAGTCAAGTCAACTCACTTGTTGTATGTGTCATTGCCATATACTCAGACTTAGCACTGGATCTTGTTACCACGGGTTGTTTCTTACTTTTTCATGAGACAACATTACCTCCTAAGAAAGTACAATAACCAGTAGTTGATCTCCGATTAGAAGGAGAGTCAGACCAATCAGCATCTGAGAAACCTTTCACTCTAAGATGTCCATTAGTTCTATATAATAGTCCAAGTCCAGGAGCTCGTTTGAGATATGACAGAATACGAGTAACTGTCTCCCAATGTGGTACTCTAGGACACCTCATGAACTGACTTACTATACTGACTGCATAGGAAATATCCGGTCGAGTAATAGTAAGNCTATATAATAGTCCAAGTCCAGGAGCTCGTTTGAGATATGACAGAATACGAGTAACTGCCTCCCAATGTGGTACTCTAGGACACCCCATGAACTGACTTACTATACTGACTGCATAGGAAATATCCGGTCGAGTAATAGTAAGATAATTAAGTTTTTCAACCAATCTACGATACCGACCCGGATTCTCAAATAATGCACCATCATCCATCAATAATTTCTGATTCGAAGCCATAGGAACATCAATCGGTCTACCACCCAACAAACCTGCTTCTTCAAGCATGTCAAGTACATATTTTCTTTGGAATAAACAAATACTCTGTTCAGATCGAGCCACCTCAATACCCAAGAAATACTAGAATTTTTTCAAATCTTTAGTATGAAATCAATCTTGTAAGAATATTTTTAACTTGACAATCCCCTCAGAATCATTTCCAGTAATCATAATATCATCTACATAGACTACCAATAGGACATATCCAGCATCTGTTTGTCTATGAAACACAAAATGATCTGGCTGACATCGAAGAAGACCAAACTCTAAAATTGCATTTGAAAATTTACCAAACCATGCNTACCAATAGGACATATCCAGCATCTGTTTGTCTATGAAACACAAAATGATCTGTCTGACATCGAAGAAGACCAAACTCTAAAATTGCATTTGAAAATTTACCAAACCATGCCCTAGGTGACTGCTTCAAACTATACAAATATTTCTTTAACCGATATACACTTTTATCATACTTCCCCTGAGTAGTAAACCCAGGTGGCTGCTCCATGTATACCTTTTCAACCAAGTCACCATGTAGGAAAATATTTTTGATGTCTAACTAAAATAAGGGTCAATCAAGATTAGCAGCCAAAAAGATCAAGATACGAACAGAAAAAATTTTAGCAACAGGAGAAAAAGTTTCCTCATAATCAACACCATAAGTCTGAATAAAGCCCTTTGCAACAAGTCGGGCTTTGAGACGCTCCACAGAACCATCTGGATGAAATTTAACAGTATACACCCAACGACAGCCAACAGTTCATTTACCAGGGGGTAAAGGAACGAGATCCCAAGTCCCATNGAGATCAAGATACGAACAGAAAAAATTTTAGCAACAGGAGAAAAAGTTTCCTCATAATCAACACCATAAGTCTGAGTAAAGCCCTTTGCAACAAGTCGGGCTTTGAGACGCTCCACAGAACCATCTGGATGAAATTTAACAGTATACACCCAACGACAGCCAACAGTTCATTTACCAGGGGGTAAAGGAACGAGATCCCAAGTCCCATTATGATGTAAAACATTCATCTCCTCCTCCATAGCTTTCCTCCAACTCAGATCAGATAAGGTATCCTGTAAATGCTTAGGAATAGATAACAGATAATTAGGAAGTAAAATATGAGACAAGGCATCATATGAAACAAAATGAGAAATGGGATGATTAGTAACATACGAACGAGTACCTTTGCGAAGAGCAATAGGTAAAGAGTCTAAATTACCTGATATACTAGGATCAGANTAACTCATATCAGATGAGGTATCCTGTAAATGCTTAGGAATAGATAACAGATAATTAGGAAGTAAAATATGAGACAAGGCATCATATGAAACAAAATGAGAAATGGGATGATTAGTAACATACGAACGAGTACCTTTGCGAAGAGCAATAGGTAAAGAGTCTAAATTACCTGATATACTAGGATCAGAAGGCGGCAAGGAAGACGGTATGGGTACCTCAGTCGATAGGCAAGGACTGTAGGAGTAGACACGGAGAGGTAAAGTAGATGGTAATACATTGGGCAGCGGAATGTCTGAAGATGAGGAAAGAGATGGTAGTACAGGAGATGATCCAAAGTCCAGATCCAAAGGCTGAGAAGGTGCTGGAAAGTATGGAATANGCAAGGAAGACGGTATGGGTACCTCAGTCGATAGGCGAGGACGGCAGGAGTAGACACGGAGAGGTAAAGTAGATGGTAATACATTGGGCAGCGGAATGTCTGAAGATGAGGAAAGAGATGGTAGTACAGGAGATGATCCAAAGTCCAGATCCAAAGGCTGAGAAGGTGCTGGAAAGTATGGAATAAATTCTTCAAACGTGACNTAGGATCAGAAGGCGGCAAGGAAGACGGTATGGGTACCTCAGTCGATAGGCAAGGACTGTAGGAGTAGACACGGAGAGGTAAAGTAGATGGTAATACATTGGGCAGCGGAATGTCTGAAGATGAGGAAAGAGATGGTAGTACAGGAGATGATCCAAAGTCCAGATCCAAAGGCTGAGAAGGTGCTGGAAAGTATGGAATAAATTCTTCAAACGTGACATCGACACTAGTAAAGTATCGGTGCAAAGAAGGACAATAACAACGATATCCCTTCTACGTATGGGAGTAATCAAGAAATATACATTTGGTAGCTCGAGAGTCAAGCTTGTCAAACTCATGACCCAAATTGTGAACATAATAGACACATTCAAAAATCTTAGGAGTCAGGGAAAATAAAGGCTTACTAGGAAAAAGGACAGAATATGGACTTTGCCCATTTAACACAGAGGATGACATACGGTTAATAAGATGACAAGCAGTAAGAACAACATCACTCCAAAAATATCGGAGAATATTCATCTGGAATAACAGGGCACGGGTGACTTCCAACAAATGACGGTTCTTGCGTTCAGTAACACCATTTTGTGGAGAGGTTTAAACACAAAAAGTTTGATGAATAATGCCAGTTTTACTAAGATAAGCTAAAAAANAGATACCTTAATTTCCTCCTGGAGGAATTCACTCAAGATCAAGGAATTGTACTCATACTGAAACCACTTAAAAAAAAAAAACTGGTGATTTTTAATTAATCACAAGCAGCATCAGTTTGCACTGTAATCTCTTAATGTACACTCACAGTACATATGACAACAGCTTTGTCAAGATCCATGTGTATATAACAGCAAAGGTGGCACCAACTGGGATGGTCACTGCCCAAGAAGTCACAATCTCCTTCACAGTTTCTGCTCTAACACTATTGAGTCCTCTGGCAAACCCCACCCCCATGACTGCACCCACTAGAGTGTGAGTTGCTGAGATGGGTAGTCCCAGCTTAGATGCAAACAGAACCACTGAAGCCGCGGCAAACTCGGCTGCAAAACCTCTAGTAGGAGTGAGTTCTGTGATTTTCTTCCCGATCGTAGCGATCACTCGATATCCCCACATAATAAGCCCTGCCACAATCCCAAATCCTCCCCATGCAAGAACATCAATAGGAATTACTATGTTGGCTTCACTCATCCCACCTTGAAGAATCGATNGTAAGACTGGGAACTTGACACTTCAGATTTTGGAGAGAGGGATGTCCAAGACGACAATGTCACTGAAAAGGAGATAACGAGGTTTGTAGAGCCCGAGTAGATGAATCAAAATCAAAGTAATATAGGCCACCAGCTTTATGCCCCGTACCAATCTTCCTCTTCGTCTTAAGATCCTGAAAGACATAATAAGAAGGATAAAAGGTTACAGAACAATTAAGAGAATGAGTAATTTTGCTAATGAAAAGTAAACTAAAAGGAAACTGAGGAACAAATAATATGGAAGATAGGGACATATCAGGACTCAAGTTAGTAGTCCCCAAACCTGAAATTTTAGAACAAGTGTCATTAACAAGAGTAACACTAAGTGTGGAGGTAGCAGACTGATAAGTAGAAAAAATATCAGACGCACTAGTCATGTGATCAAAAGCGCCAAAGTCTATGATCTAGGGACTGCGATTGGAGGATAAAACAAGTGGAAGCAATACTTAATTGGGCAAAAGTAGCAGTGAAGGGAGATGGAATAACCTGTTGCTGAGATAGGAACTGGGCATACTCCTCTCGAGTAATAGTAACCAATCCAGTGTCTTGCTTGAGTTCTATAACAGTGCAGCAAATAACAAACAAAGAGTGCTGCAATACTGAACTAGAAGAAAAAACGAAGGTTGAAGGACTGAATCAGACCGAATCGGACCTGATAAGGTTGTTTGAAGACTGAACCGGACCACAGGAGCACTAAACTGAATTGGAAAAGTAGGTTAGACCACTGAACCGGACCCCTCTTACTTGTTGGAATGTTGAACCGGGTTGGAAAACATGGCAGAACCACTGAACCGGACCAGCTAAGCTTTCTGGACCGCTAAACCAGACCCCTTCTACTTGCTGGAATGCTGAACCAGGTTAAAAAACTGGGCTGAACCACTAAACCAGACCAGTAAGGCTCTCTGGACCGCTGAACCGGCCTGAACCTTGATCCGGTTTAAGATGAACCGTGGTTGGATCGGGATTGGACTTAAAACAATTTAAGTCAGCTTGACCTAATTTGAACCAGATCCAAAACTCGGATTGGATCTTGTCTTCTTCTTCGCTAATTAGGGTTCCAAAAAGGACCCTCTGGTCTGCGACACAGCACACACCACAAGCAACGACCACCACTGCCACCGTCNTTCCAAAAAGGACCCTCTGGTCTGCGACACAGCACACACCACAAGCAACGACCACCACTGCCACCGTTTGCGACACAGCACACAGCAACGAAGGACCCTTTGGTCTGCAACACAACACACGCCACAAGCGACAACCACCACTGCCACCACACACCACAACCACCACAACCACACCACTACCACGAAGAGTACTACTCGACACACCACACACCACAAGTGACGACCACACGATGAACACAGACCACACCACAACAGTGTTAATATATTTAGGATCGTTTGTGCTGTGATACCATGTTAAGTTTAGAGGATTAACAAAATATTAGAGAGAAACAGAGATAGGTTAAAAATATAACCTAGTTCTCATACATTACTTGTATTTATAGTTAACTCACAATAATAAAAATTACACATAATACCCTAATACTATTAACAATTTACACATACTACCCTAATACTCTTAACATATGTAATCAATGGTCAGTTATGTGGGATTAGAGTGATCAATTTACATGGGATAATTCAAAGGATGTTTAGCGATACTCATATCAGAAATCCAGCATCAACCACGTAGTGCTATGTTGTTTTGGTCTTTTGAGTTACAAGAACACACTCTTAAACCTGCATTAATTTGGCATTGTTCTCCTGTTTACATTCAAAAGTTTTCTGCTTTGTTCATGGCATCCTGCAATCATTTGTCCTTGGCTTTCTCAAAGCCTCTTTACCTGTTTAACGACAGTTCATTCTAGATTATGCAATAGAGCATCACTATATCAGTAACATACTGCATCAATTAGTGCTACCAGATAATACTATTTAAGAAGTTAGCTATCCATTTTGCCTTGATCTTATAAGAGCTACATGAAGTCAAAAATAACTGGGAAATTATCTGAAGAGTAAAAACTTCTCAGATTCAAACGACCAAAACCAAATTTCTCCCTCAATACCTGATACCTTAATTTCCTCCTGGAGGAATTNAGAGTAAAAACTTCTCAGATTCAAACGACCAAAACCAAATTTCTCCCTCAATACCTGATACCTTAATTTCCTCCTGGAGGAATTCACTCCAGATCAAGGAATTGTACTCATACTGAAACCACTTAAAAAAAAAAAAACTGGTGATTTTTAATTAATCACAAGCATCAGTTTGCACTGTAATCTCTTAATGTACACTCACAGTATATATGACAACAGCTTTGTCAAGATCCATGTGTATATAACAGCAAAGGTGGCACCAACTGGGATGGTCACTGCCCAAGAAGTCACAATCTCCTTCACAGTTTCTGCTCTAACACTATTGAGTCCTCTGGCAAACCCCACCCCCATGACTGCACCCACTAGAGTGTGAGTTGCTGAGATGGGTAGTCCCAGCTTAGATGCAAACAGAACCACTGAAGCCGCGGCAAACTCGGCTGCAAAACCTCTAGTAGGAGTGAGTTCTGTGATTTTCTTCCCGATCGTAGCGATCACTCGATATCCCCACATAATAAGCCCTGCCACAATCCCAAATCCTCCCCATGCAAGAACATCAATAGGAATTACTATGTTGGCTTCACTCATCCCACCTTGAAGAATCGATAATGCTCCGGCCAAAGGGCCTATGGCATTGGAGACGTCATTTCCACCATGGGCAAATGACATGAAACAGGCTGATAGGACTTGCATGTAGCCAAAGACTCCATAAACTATTTCCAGCTGAGTTCCTGTAGGTCCTGTGATTTCAGCTGATAGAAATCCTCTGTTTTTGGTTTGAATGGAGTCCCCTTTTGTCTCTGGTGCTGTTGAATTGGACTTGACAAGGAGGTGACCAAGCTGTTGTCGGATGATTCTGTGGACCAGGACTGCACCAGCAGTGCCACAGGCCAAAGCCTGCATTAGAGCTAGAGGGAGGCTCTTGCTAAGAGGGAAGGCTGCAAAAGAGATTCCAGTAACACCCACAAAGACGGCGATGGGTGCAGCTGCTGCAGCTGCTTGTCCTGGGTTTGGAGCACTGTATACAAACTAGAAATAGCAATGCAGGTCAGAGATATGGAAAACATTGCTGTGGTGCTTTTTCACAATCGAGTGCTAGTGTTTTAGGGTTTTATGGTATCAAACGTTGAAATCAATTTGTTTCAAGTCCAATATAGTATGAACATACCCTGCGGATGCATTTGTAGACAAGGAAAGACACCATTGCTCCCATTAGCGGTGAGACCACCCATGAGGAAGTCACCCTTGCCAGTGAACTCCAAAAGACAGCACCAGGTCCCCCGTAGACAAGGCCGAATCCGACCATGGCTCCTACAATACAATGTGTGGTCGAGACGGGCAATCCATAGTATGATGCAACCTGAGTATCACACGATGAAACATCAAGTACATTCTAATACCTTAACCGAACACAAGATGCTGTAATCTACAAACTTCATAGGTTTCATTGATAGGTAGTTGCGGGTATTTGATTAGACCATTGAACAAGACTATTTCCTTATCAATTAAAGCCTCATATACAACCTTATTAATCAAAACAAAACTAACTACATGAATATGCAGAGACTTCAAATTTTGGGGATATATTGAAGAAACATGAATGTTAACAAACAGGAGAACTTGAAATGTACCTGCAACCAAGTACCAGCAGCAGCCAAAGAAGAGACTAAACCGGCGAAAAGTAAAGAGTCCTTCCCTCGAAAAACATTGGCAACAAGGATTCCTTTCTGCATTGTACTGGTCACATGAGTCCCCATTAACAAAGCTCCAGAGAACTCCAACACAGCCGCTGTCAACATGGCCTGCCGGAGAGTCAAAGCACCAGAACCCACCGAGGTCCCCATGGCATTGGCCACATCATTGGCTCCAATATTCCAAGCCATGTAAAAACCCAATATGAGACTAGAATATGACAACAACTTTGTCTTCAAGGCCAATCCTTGGCCTAAAGACTGCATGAAAAGTGGCAAAGTAAGAGCAGCCAATGCTATGCATATTGATATAGCAGAAGCTGTCCTAGAAGATATGTGGAAGGCGTCTGCCATTCCTTGCAATTCATCGTTTGATTTCGCATCTTGTTCATGTTCTTTGGGTTTTGTTTCATGACCTTCTTCACCTTCTGCTTCAGCAAAAGATGATAAAGCAGCAGATGGGTAGGTAAACTTATAAGGCTTTAATCTCAGAAGAGAGAGAAAGCTGTTGGGATTAGGAGGCTTTGGATTTAAAGTCTCTTTCTTGGGAAATTGGGTTACATGGGAAAAGAAAGAGGGCCTATGCTTGGGGAGGTAGAGATGGGAATTGTGAATCCAGAAAGCTTCTTGTGAGATGGTGTTTCTGGTGGAAGATAGACAGTAAGAGGTGGTCATGCTTGATAGAAAGAGTGAGATAAAGAGGGAGTAGAGAGAGAAAGTGGGAGAGGGAGAGGGAGAGGAGAATGTGGGATTATTCAGGTAGATTCTTGGCCATGGAATATAGAGGAGGATGAGTATGACCAGAGGAGTGTAAATTTTTTCCATTTCCCCAATTTTGGGGGGGAGCTGAGAGTGGATTTGGCTGCTTGCTTTTGTCGATTGAAACTAGTGGTGGTGATGCTGCGAAAAAGGCCGTTTCATCCACACACACACCCAACTGATTCTAAAAATAAAGATATGAAAATTACATGCAATATCCACTGCAGAAAAACCATACCCAAGAGAGAAAAAGACAGCCTAGCCAAAAACAAACCTGTTCCTGTTAATGGGTGGGTTTAGAAAAAGACAGCATCCTCGGTCGAGTGGTGGCTCTAATTTTAAGGAGTAGTTCAAGTGATAGTAGGGAGGAGTTGTAATTCTAGATAGAGTTTGAATTTTGGCAAACTTCTTAAGACCAAGTGATGAGAGATTTTTTCCTCATTAATATTCTAATTGTGACGTGGATCACATATCTTTGACTAAACCCTGCAGGGAATTAGTCGAGTTAGTTGAGGTGAATGTAAATTGGGCGGAATATCCTAAAATATTGAAACATAAAAAAAGAGAAGGGGGGGGGGGGGGGG